TGCACAGCATACACAAAATAAATAAAATACAATAAAAGTATTTGGGGGTAAATATACCTCCATAGCCAGTGGCTTCTAGAACATTTCAAGTCAGATAATGCCCCTGGGCTACGGCCTCCCTCTCCAGATCAGGAGGACTGTCTCTATAACACTCTCTACCAATGCCCCCAAATAAACACAACCCTTAAAAAATTTATTTTATGTATTATTATTAATGTGTGTATGTGCACAATGGTGTTGTGCAATGGTTTGTGTACAGTACTTTTGTGTGACATACATGTGGAGATCTGAGGACACCTTTTGGGAATCAGTAGATGGAGCCATTTGATTCATGACTGGGAACTGAAAAGAAGGGAATGGGACTTGCATCACAATATCTTCCCCCAGGGCATATCCCAGTGGCCAGAAGACTTCCTGCAGAGAGACTTGGCAGTTCTCTCCTTCCATCTCTACTTGGGTTCCTGGGAATCAAACTCGGGTCTCCAGACTTGCATGGCAAGCACTTTTATCCACTGAGCATCTCACTAACCTCCCACCCCGAGTCCCCACCACCACCTTGGAAAACAACTTTCCAAACCATCACTTGGAGCCTCTGCGGGGAGGCGGAGCTTCCTCTGGGCTCCCCTTCATTTGGCCAGCATTTGAAAGGCTTGGAGACAAACACCAGGACATTTTCCATCTGTGTCCCTGGTGCGTGTGGCTTGACCGCTGAGCTGTGGAGCAGTCCAGTGCCAGCTGCCCTTGATCTCTTGGTTCAGCACTCTGGGACAGGGTTATGCAACGGGCTTGGCTGTGCTCCCCAGGAGCCTGGTTTGTGGTGATTCTGCCCAGACCGACACAAACAAGCAACCAGCACTGTGGGCTTGCTGGACCTGTCTCTGTCAAGTGCATGGATGTCATTGTCATTGTGTGTTTTTGTCCCCTCTCTCTGCCACCTATGAACCCTTAAGTACCCTGGGTGCCTGTGTACCAGAAACAATAATAAAACATGTTAATCTAAATCTTCATTGTAACCCAAGACCAGGTGAAGGCTTCCATGTCTGTCTACAACATGCCCTTCTCACTCAGCTTGCATTGCTCTTCCAGTATGCCGTGTAGCAGGCTTTCTTTTGGGCCACCAACCAGCTCCCAGGTCATGACATGGAGACTTACTATTAGTTATGAATGCTCGGCCTTATCTTACGCTTGCCCCACTAGCTCTTATAACTTAAATTAATATGTTTCTCTTCATCTGTATTTTGCCTCAGGTCCTATTACCTTTCCTTCATTCTGTATGTCCTACTCCATGTCTGTCTGTCTGGTGGCCCCGGGCATCTCCCTGTCTTTCTCCTTTGTTCTCTTCCCTAGAGCCTAGATTTCTCTTCCCACTCACTCGCTCCGCCCACCAGCCCTGCCTGTCCCTCTCCTGCCTAGCTACTGCCATTCAGCTGTTTATTAGACCAATCGGGTGCCTTAGGCAGGCAAGGTGAAACAGCAACACATCTTTACATAGTTAAACAAATGCAGCTTAAACAAAAGCAACACGTCTTTGCACAGTTAAAGTAATATTCCACGGCAGTGTGGTCCTACCTTCAGACTTCTTTTACTACTTCTCCCTGGCCGTAGCTTATCAGATGTCAGCTCTGAGGAAACGTGAGGTGGTGGGGCCTAGAAAGAGCTGGAAGAACTGGCGGCAACAATTACGTCCCCCTCTCCTTTGGGTCTAATGAAGTCAGTGATACACCCTGCACTTCTCTATGCGGGTGATTTTCTTCTAATAGAATGAATGGTCACTGTGAATCGAGCACAGTTTTCCATACAAGCATCCTTTCTCTGCTAAGTGGGCTCATGATTCACTCATGAGTCCATGAGGGTCAAGAATCCTAACCTAAGGGAGCCAGAGGCTTACAAATGCACGCACACATGTCCTGTGTGTGTGTGTGTGTGTGTGTGTGTGTGTGTGTGTGTGTGTGTGTGTGCATGCGCACAGAGAGAGAGAGGGGGTGAGGGAGAGAGGGGGAGGGAGAGAGGGGGGAGAGGGGTGAGGGAGAGGGATAGGGAGAGGGAGAGGGAGAGGGAGAGGGAGAGCTCGCCCTGCAAAGAGCTTTTGAGGCATAAAGGGTCAAATGGACCTTTACCAGAGATCTAATCAGGCCCCAGAGGTAGAATCACCTGGTGTCTGATGCCCCCTGGTGGTATTTAGTGGGAAGAACACAACATTGTCTCCAGCCTTTGCCTAAAATGCTTAACCTCAGTCTCAATGAGCACCTATTTCACTTATGCAAGGTCTAACCAGGCGGGATTGGGAGGTTATTCTATAAAAACAGTGGGGTAGTTTGGAAAATTGCAATGTCAGAGTCAGAATATCCCCAAAGCCGTGAGGATGATTCCAGATTGAAGAGAGGGAATAACTCCTAGATCAGAACACAAAATAGTTTTTTGGGTTGGGGGGGGTGTTTTGTTTTTTGTTTGTTTGTTTTGTTTTGTTTTTTTGTTTTTTTGAGACAGGGTTTCTCTGTATTGTTTTGGAGGCTATCGGTCCAGCCCAGCCTCGAACTCACAGAGATCCGCCTGCCTCTGCCTCCCGAGTGCTGGGATTAAAGGTGTGCACCACCATCACCCACCACAAAATAGTTTTTAAAATCATTTCAGGGCAATGGCAGATACTTGAACATGGGCTGTGGACTGGATAATTGTGTGCTGCTGTTACACTGCTTGAAGAACAAATGTTCCACATGGAAAGATTCCTGTTCCACTGAGATGTGCCAGTGATTAGGGTGGTGTGCTGTCCTGGTAGTTTATGCCAGCTTGACACAAGCTAGAGTCATCAGAGAGGAGGGAGCCTCAATAGGGAAAAGGCCTCCATGAGATCTGTCTGCAAGGCATTTTCTTAATTAATGACAGAGGAGGATGGGCCCAGCCTATGGTGGGTGGTGTCAGCTCTGGGCTGGTGGTCCTGGGTTCTGTAAGAAAGCAGGCTGAGCAAGCCATGAAAAGCAAGCCAGCAGGCAGCTCCAGCTCATGCCTTGTCCTGACTTCCTTCAGGGATGAGCAGTGACATGGAAGTGTCAGTCAAATAAACCCTTCCCTCCCCAACTTGCTTTGGCCATGGTGTTTCATCACTGCAATAGAAACCCTAACTAGGACACACGCCATGTTATACCATTCCCAATAGCTCAGCAAAAAAGTAAAGAGATTTGTTTTTGTTTTTAAATTTTTTATTATGTTTGGGGGTGATAAGTATATGAATGCAAGCACCCTCAGATCTAGAGGCATAGGATCCCCCCAAAGCTGGAGTTATAGACACATGTGAATCACCCAACATGAGTGTCTGGGAACCAAACTCAAGCCCTCTGTAAGAGCATCAAGTACTCTTAACCACAGAGCTGTCTCCCCAGCCCCAAGAGCATATGGGTCTGTGTTTGGAACAAGCTGGGGAACAGCCAGTGTGATTGATGGATAGCCGATGTGACAGACAGCCAGTGTGATGCTGCTTTAGTGGCTGGAGACTCTAGTTCTGCGGGGTCCATTGGGTCCTAGTTCAGCTCTTTGGCAAATTTTAGATTTTTCCAGACTTACAAGTTTAAAGTAAGTGGGAAAAGACAGTAGGAAAAAAATTTAAAAGTAAGTCAGACAATTGAGCGGCTTATCTAACAAAATTAGCTGAGGCTAAGACTCCTCTCTCTGGACCTTAACTGTTCATCCTTCTTTACCTAAACTAGTGAAGAGGGAGATAAATGTTGGAGGTCATTCCCTTAGAAGGGCAGGCACACAGCCTTTCCAGGATTTGGCTAAAGGGAGTTAAACGCAATGTACACACCACCACCTAGTGGCCAGATGTGGTCACCTCTCAGCAGCTGCCAATTGCAAAGGCCGGATTAAGTGCCCACATTATTGGTACTTTTCCCACAGTTCCTGTGGTTCCCACATTTGTGAAACAGTAATTTTTGTTTATATTTCTAGCCCTGTAGCTTTTTGTTATTGATTTCCAGTTGCTTTGGATAAACAAGCCAAAAAAACCAGATTTCTTCTCCTCATAAACCCAATTGAGTCCTTGATTCTTTAATAACCCTGAAGTTAGAGGAAAACCTTATTCTATGTATTTAACCAGGGCCCATTTGCTGCCCAACCATAGCAAACTGCTGGGATTTCCGACTTCCTCTTGAAAAGAAAAACAAGCCAAATAAGAAACATGTTCTGGGCTTAGGGTTTGGGCTGTTGCACGCGTGTGGTGGAGGCTGGGAGCACAGGGGAGTGGGTGAGCCTCAAAACAGAGCCAAAGGGAGGCAGGCCACTGTCCGGGGAGCCGGAGACCCTGCTGGAGGCGGGGCTCTTGCGTCCCTGTATAGGGGCCACACCTAGCTTTCTCAGGCTGTCCTGAACTGGAAGCAGGGTCAAAAACTAGGGAAGCTGTCTGTTACTAATAGAGTCCTATTTTGACTGTTACAGAAGAAATTTGTTACTGCAGATGTCATTGGCTATCGAGGTTCCTGGACTGTTTGCTAAGGGGCTTGGTTTCTTGCTTTGGGCTGTGGACCAGCGTTCCAGATTTCCATTTGGTGTGGCCTTTCATCTGGAGGCAGCCAGTCCAAAGTGTGGCCTGGCCCAGTGCCAGGTGGCTGCAGACAGTGACAGCCTCAATCACAATCAAGAAAAGAGATTGCAGACCATGTTAGGACCCTGCCCGAGAGGAGGCCCTCCGAGCCTCGGTGGGCTTCCTTTGTACCCACAAGCCATTGCTGCCGTGCCATACCCTTGAGAGAAGCTCTAGAGGGTTGGTTGTGAGCCGACCAGCACACTCTGGAGGTGACTTGGAACCACAAGCAGGCAACAGATCATATAGGAGCCACCTCCTGTGCTGACGGCCCTGGTGGAAGCCGAGGAACAAGGCAGACATGGTCCCGGCATCTCAGGCCGGGGCTCCAGCTGGGGTGGGCACACAGTCTCACTTGAACATTTCGTTCCAGGCCCACCTCGGACCCAGACTCACCGCTCTCCTGTCCCTTGCTGTCCCGCCACAGGCACTTCGTGTGAAATGGTCACATCTTAGGTTGCCCTGGGTGGACCTCGACTGGCTCTTAGACATCTCCTGCCAGATCACAGAGCTCGACCTCTCCGCCAACTGCCTGCCTTCACTCCCCTCCATCATCCCTTGGGGACTCATCAACCTGAAGAAACTGAACCTCTCAGACAACCACCTGGGGGAGCTGCCCTGCGTGCAGTCATCCGACGAAATCATCTGCTCCAGGTGGGCCCAGGGGTGTGGACAAGGCCTTCTGTGCCCCGTCCACCAGAGCCGCCCTCCCATGCAGGTTCCAGGGTTGAGTTCTGTGTTTTTGAAAACGAGCTTGTGGCGGTAGTGAAGGGCTGCTCTCTCTTACACAAGGCCCCTGACGTCTAATGAGCCAGAGAGGTCTCGACAGGAGGCCTGGGCTAAGGATTCCTCCAGCCATGCAGAGCTATTTGTTCCGAATATACAACTGTGTCCTGCACGGTAGAGTGACTAGAGGCTTCCTGGCGTGGTAGGATGGCTTGTCCCACCCCCCATAAAAAGCTGGGTGGGCCTAAGGAAAGAGTCCTGGGAATGTGGCCACACATGAACACTGGTCACTGGATCACTGCCGTCTTACCTAGAGCCCTGAGCCCTGAGGGGGCATGGGAGGGGAAGGACATCTTTGAATTGCTTTTCTCATTGTTGTGACTGAATGCCCTGACAGCTTAAAGAAGGGAGGGCTGTTCTGACTCAGAGTTTGAAGGAGACAGTCCATTGGGAAAGGCATGGCTACAGAGTCAAAGGTGGCTGGTCATGCTGCAGCTGCGCCTTGTCACACTGCATCGGTAGCTGATTACACTGCATTTGTAGCTGGTTACACTGCATTTGTAGCTGGTTACACTGCATCTCGGTAGCTGGTCACACTGCATCTGTAGCTGGTCACACTGTATCTGTAGCTGGTCACACTGTATCTGTAGCTGGTCACACTGCATCTCAGTAGCTGGTCACACTGCATTGGTAACTGATTACACTGCATCTCGGTAGCTGGTCACACTGTATCTATAGCTGGTCATACTGTATCTGCAGCTGGTCACACTGCGCCTTGTCACACTGCATTGGTAGCTGGTTACACTGTATCAGTAGCTGTTCACACTGTATCGGTAGCTGGTTACACTGCATCTGTAGCTGGTCACACTGTATCGGTAGCTGGTCACACTGCATTGGTAGCTGGTTACACTGTATCGGTAGCTGGTTACACTGTATCAGTAGCTGGTCACACTGCATCTGTAGCTGGTTACACTGCATCGGTAGCTGGTCACACTGCCACTGTAGTCAGGAAGTGGAAAGCAATGACTACTTACTGGTCCCCAACCGGGGACTGGTGCCACACACATGCAAAGTGGCCCCTCCCACATCGTCTCACCTAACCCAGATAATCCCTTACAGACACACCCAGGAGTTTGTTTCTCATCAAGTTTTGCCAATCATGATGAACCGTGACAGGCAGGACTGTACCTGAATTTACCAAGGGTGTGTATGTACAAGGCTTCGTTGCGGAAAGGATTGGAGCTGACTACAAAGCTAAGGCTGGGCCTGGAAGATGGCCCAGTAGGTAAAGGTGCTTGCTGTCAGGCCTGATGTCCTGGAACCTTCATACTGGAGAGAGAAAACTGACTCCCGAAAGTTGTCCTGTCTCCCACCTCGGGGGAGGTCATGGTGCATTGGTTCATATGGGTGAATGCATACACACAGTAAATACACGGGATTAAAAAATCAACTGGGGGTTTAAATGTTGTAAGGGACAAGGATGTTAGAAAGAGCTTGCGGTTAGTCTTTGGGCCTCATAAATGAGTTTTACAGGCCGAAAGTGTAAAGAGCAAGTGTTGTCTGAGTGTTATCCTTAACCAGGCTCGGGTGGGTGAACCTGAAAGCCCCACCAGGTTGCTCCTCTGTGGCCTCTGAGCAGCCCTGGGGCATCGATCGCTTCCCATGGGCAAAGGTTTTAATCCATGGATGTTCAGAAGAACCAGGACCCACCAAAGTCAGACTCCATTACCAGAACAGATCGTCAAATAAGTAAAAAGCCAAGATTCCTGCTTGCTTTGTAAGCTGTGTGTGCAGAGAAAGCCTTGCCTATGGAGAGATCTTTAATTGTTGCTGTTTGCCCTTCCTGTTCCCTAACTCCCTTCTCCCTGGCCCAGGTTACTTGAAATCGACATCTCCAGCAACAAGCTGTCCCACCTTCCTCCAGGATTCTTGCACCTCTCAAAACTTCAAAAACTGACTGCTTCCAGAAACTACCTGGAGCGCTTGTTTGAGGAAGAAAATGGTACGTGACTCCATCGACGACCCGGGGTCATCGGCCACTTCCTTGCTGTTTGGGATACTTTTAACATCATACTCTTTTTTTCACCTCACAGCTACTAACTGGATCGGCCTGCGGAAGCTGCAGGAACTCGACCTGGCTGACAATAGGCTGACTGAGCTCCCCGCCCTCTTCATGCACTCCTTCAAGTCCCTCAGCTATCTGAACGTCTCCAGAAACAATCTGAAGAGCTTTCCCGACCCCTGGTCCTGCCCTTTGGTGGGTTCATGAAAGCCACCGTCCACTCTGCGTGGCCCTCCACGCTCCTCACTTCACCCCTGGGGCCGCGCTGTGTGTCACAGTGTCACTCCACACCGCAGCTGAGTAGAGGCCCTCGGCCGGGCGAGGCTCTCACAGTAGCAGCTGTCAGCCGGGCTGTCTGGCTCTGGATTTAGGCACTACGGTTTTGTACATCAGCAGCTTGCACCTGACACAAGATGATATAAGGGATGGGGAGTTGGCTCTCCTGGTAAAGCGCTGCCACACAAACATGAGAACTTGATCCCCAAGAATCCCATAAAAATGTCACATGTGGGTCTGGAGAGATTGCTCATTGGGAAAGTGCTTGCTATGTAAGTGTAAGGACCTGAGTTTATGTCCCCAGCACCCAAGAAGCAAAGACAGGATCCCCAAGACAAGTGGGCCAGCTAGACCAATCCTGTTTATGAGCTCTGATAAGTTCAAGTGAGAGACCCTGCCTCACTTGTAAGATGGAGAGCAATCTAAGAAGACACCTGCCATCAACCCCTGGCCTCCACATGCACACATGTACACACATGCATGCATTCACACATGTGATCATACATGCATATGGGTCACACATGTTTTCTAAAATGTCAGGCAAGGCAGCGTGTACCTGTAATCCCAGCACTGAGAAATGGGGATAGGAGGTCCCTGGAGTCGGCTGGGCAGCCAGTCTAGACAACTGATGAACTCAAGGTTCAGTGAGAAACCCGGTCTCAAAATTTAAAAAAATGGTGGAGAAGATACCCAACCTTAACCTTTGGCCTCTACACATGTGTATATACACAAACAAACCTGATATACATACAGACACAAATGCTAAGCGGGGGTGCAGGGTCTTGGTGCAGGAGTCTGTGTTCACAGCTCTGCAGACTGAATGGAGCTCTGTTTCTTGATAATCTGGCTGGGTAAAACAGATGAATAGCATAAGGAATACTGGTGCTTTGTTGCTGCTGGTTGCAAACAAGGGAATTCTCCATCACGAGAATAAGCATTCCCAGTCTGACCATATGCACAGGGAAGACTGTGTCTCCCGAAAACAGAGCTCTCAGTCAGTCTGTTAGTTCCCAGGACAATAGGCTGGATGGTGACGAGGGAGGAAAAACTATGAGCCCCCTTTGTCTCCCCCAGGAAATTCTATCCCTGCTCCCACAGGGCAGAACAGCACAGGCATGGAGAATTTGAAGCCTTTCTCCTCACCCCTGCCTGATAGCCTCACTTCAGGCATCAAATTGACAAGCAGAATTCTAGTCAGCGCTACACTTGGGAAACTACTTACTCTTCTCCCTCTCTCTCCTCAAACTCCTAGAAATGTTGCAAAGCTTCCAGAAACGCCCTGGAATCGCTGCCAGACAAAATGGCTGTCTTTTGGAAAAACCACCTGAAGGACGTGGATTTCTCTGAGAACTCGCTGAAGGAGGTGCCCCTGGGGCTTTTCCAGCTTGATGTGAGTCCAGTCGAGCTTCATTTCTCATTATCAGGGTTGGTAAGAAAAAGCCAGTCTGGGCTGCAGGGAATCTCTGCGCTTTCTCCAAGTTTGAGAAACACACAAGGAAAAAAAGCGAGCGATAAGTCGGCCTATCCAAACATGCATGGTCTTGAGCAAAGACGGAGTGAGGGGAACAGTCGCCATGGAGACAGCTGTGTTAGGGAAGGACTTACTTCCCTGGGTTAGTTACTTCTCATTGCTATAACAAACGCCCTGAGATAACCAACTCCGATGTGAAAAGGGCTGATTTGACTCAAGGTTTGGAAGGCGTCAGTCCGTAGACACATCCCCCATGGCTGGGCCCAATGCTTCTGGGTCTGTGGTGAAGCAAATGCAACTTGGGAGAGCAGAGCTGTTCACCTCACAGCCAGGACTTGAACTAAAGGGGAAACAGAAGAGGTGTGACCCCAATATCCTCCTCAAGGGCCCACCAGCAATGAGCAGAACACCTCCCACCAGGCCCTGGCGCTAAAGGCTCTGCCACCTCCCAGTGGCTCTGAGAGACATGTCCACCTTTATTGTTTGTTTGTTTAACCCATGGACCTTTAGGGAGTGTCACAGATCCAAAAGAGCAACCCCAGGACTCCGTTTCATTATAGAACTTCTGTTTTGGTTCCGGTTGTAGAGGGGATTAAACCTGGAACCTGGTGCATAGCAGGAAATGCTCTGACTGAGCTTCAGCGTTCACTGAAGCATTGAAGCATGATGGAGAAACAATCCCATCTGCCCACTCTTTCCCCCACTCCTAGAAATCTCGATGAGCACCACAAACTCCAGCGGGAGACTCCGTACCTACAGTACTGCCCCTCTGCCTACACAGGGTCTTCAGGCAGGCCATGAGGCACTGGGATCCCAGAACAAGGGATTGCTAACTGTTCACCAAAAGCATTAGGACCCCTGGAGGTCCTCATGGTAGAATCCCAGGTCACATTGCCCAGAAAAGGTGACTATGTTTGAACACACAGGTTCAGTCCTTAATCTTCATAAACCAGCTGCTCAGATCACCCAGAATGCCCAAAGACATCAAGAGTCCCTTCAACATGCAGATCTCTGAAAAGAGGGACTATCAAGTCATAGACCTGTAAACAAACATGGGGCAGAGAAAGAGACCCACATGTTTTCACAGCCAGGGGAGATGGGAGTGTTCCTGACTGAGAACCCATGTCACTGGCACCCACAGGGACCAAACGGCCATGAGTTCTTACCGTTTACCGCCTCCCTGTTCTGGGTCCATCGCTCAGACCAACACCTTGCAGTGTAGCTTGGCCATGCAGGAGGGAATAGAGCTTTGTGGAATGTCACCACTTCTGTGGCATTCCTCTCTCCCCTTGTCCCCAGATTGGGGGTTGGGCAGGGCTTCACGTCCCAGCCCAAGCCCTGGCTAGTTGCTTGGGGAGGCAGAGGGTGACAACCGCCCTGGTCCTAAGAGTGGCCCATGGCGTCCGCCCTTCAGCAAAGGGAAAACAAAGCATGTAGAGGGCTTAATGTGACACAGCGGTGGCCCTCTTAGGTCGCATGGGTGTAGGTGGCCCTGTGACAGTGTCATCAGGAAGAGCTAAGGTGTGTCTCTGGGGCTCTCATTAAAGAAAATAACCCTCCAAGTGAGTAGGGACCCCAGTAGGCTTGCATACAAGGCCCTGGATGACTTGCCTGTGTGGAGACCCCCATACTGGACATCTGAGAACACCCAGTGGGCTCCTTGGGGTCTCCAGCAAGGCACAGGGATGAGCCGCCTGTGTGGGAACCCCAAGGAGGACATGTGGCTAAGGCAGACCACCCATGGTCTTGCTGCCTCTCTTTGGGGACCACCCATGAAAGAAATCACCGGCATCACACTACCAACCAGTGGTACCCTGTGTACTCCAGGCAGGTACCGACTAACCGTGACTCCTAAGAATCTTGGCTTCAGGATGTGCTGAGATCCCTTCTGTTCTACCGCTCTCATTGGCCTTGGGGGAAAATCTAAATGCATTGTTGGTCTTCTCTGCTTGAAACAATTTGGGGAGTTTTGTAAACAGAAAAAGACCATGTTTATTGGGGAGCAGACTGATGTTGGGAGCAATCATTGTTATTTAGAACCTCTTACAAATATTGTCAGCCTTTTTTTAAAGGGCCCTAATTTAAGGGCGACATTGTAAAAAGCCATCTTAATACTCCCACTAAGATCCTAGATCTCTACCAACTCTCAGACCTACAGTCCAGACCCCTCTCCTTCATTAATAAAAAGTAAGTGAGGAGATGTTGAGGACCAGGTCACTGTAAATCTGTATTTCTTGCCCCACGGCACTTCTTCCCACAGATGGCCCAGCCCCGTAGAGATAGCCCATCACTTAACAAGGCTACACCTGCCTCACCTCTCAGCCTCTCCGTCTAACCTCTGCCCCATCCCCCACTTCCCCTGTTTAAACCTGTACAGAACTCTCATTAAAACGCAGCTGGGTCAGCCATGTTGTCTTGCTGCCGTCTTCTCGTCTCTTGTTCCGTCACTCCAGGTTCCCGTGGGCTCTCGTCTCCTCCCGTTCATGTTTGAACTCTTTTCCTCTCTCCCCCTCTTTCAGGCCCTCATGTTCTTGAGGTTACAGGGAAACCAGCTGTCGTCGCTGCCACCTCACGAGAAGTGGACCTGCCGACAGCTCAAGACCCTGGACCTCTCCAGAAACCAACTTGGCAAGTAAGCAGGGGCTGCTTTACCCCGGTGTAGAGAGAACCAGGGATAGGAGCTCCAAGCCCCAGGCGTGTGTCTACCTGCAGCTGGGCAGATGGCTGCGCCAGGCTGCTGTATCCCACTGGGCAGGAAGGAGAAACAGGGTAGTTACTCACCGTTATGGAGGCTGCAGGTCTGGGAGTGGGGTGCCATCAAGTCTGTTGCCTGCCTCGTTCCTTGGCTTGTTAAAGTGGCCATCCCTGTACATCTCCAAGCTCGTCGTCTTTGCTGTTAGCTTATAGACACCAGCTATATGAGACTAAGACTCATCCCAATGAGTCTATGTCAACATAATCACTTCTTTAAATACCCCACTTGTGGAGTGTCCTTTATTCAACAATGCTTGGCACCAAAAGGGTTTCAGATTTTAGATGTCTTTGGGATTTGTGAAGTATTTGTGTATATCCCAGATATCCTGGGTTGGGTCCCAAAGCTAAACACAAGACTTGTGTGTGTGTCATATGGCCCCCATCCACACAGTCTAAAGACCATTTCCTGCAGGGTTTTTAGCACACCTGAGTTTTAATTGCGACATAGCTCTGAGGTCAGGTCTGGAATGTTCTCCTTTCAACACCGCACTGGTGCTCACACAATTAGGCTTTGGAATGCATCTGGGTTTAAACTTTCGGATGAAGGATGCTACTGTGAGACATTTTCTGGGAAGAAATGACTACATATCTTTCCCCCGTGTGGGACTCTGATGACAGACCACAGAAACGATCCTAACCAAATATAGCTTGAAGAACCGATGAGTGTGTGGGGGTGACCCTGGGTGACTCAGAGGCACCGTCTCACCCCACGCATAGGTGTCGCCTCACAAAAGCTGCGTCCTGCCCACCTTGCAGGCAGCTTCACCGAAGAGTCTCCTCTTCCGCAGCAACTGGCGTGTTATGTAGCCTGCGAGGAGTGAGCTTGTGAACAGTATAACTTGCCCAAGCTTCCTAGGTCTTAGAAGTTCCCTCTCCCTCCAGGAGGGGATGTTCCCGATCAGAGGAAGTAGGTACACACACAACAGAGTCTCGATGTGTATTGCAAATCCCCAAGCCCTGAGGTGAGATCCAGGGGACATGGTGCAGCCCGTGAGCAGCGCCTTCTGACTGTAATTGATGAACGTCCTGTCTCTCTCTCTCCAGCCTAGACCAGAGGCTATAAATCCTTTACCAGCCGCTAACATGCTCATAGGTGGAATAAAATGTATTCGCCTAACAAAGGTGAAAGGTTGAAGGTGAGCCCTGCGGAGAGCATCCCCTTGTATGCTCTAGCTGGAGACTGCCCGGAAACACCTCAGTAGAGCCCACACCCAAAGGCAGTTTCCCTGGAGGCAGTGGCCAGTGCGCCAACTACGAGAACGCCCTGGACAGAAGTACCTGCACCTGCTTGAAGTGGGCAAGCCCGAGAATGTGAGACTAATGGCTGTGATCCTTCCTAATTACTTCTAGAAGACCCCATGAGCTCCCTCTATAAACTGCAGGAATGCCAAGAGCCTGCTGATAGAATCTACTGCCGTCCCCATGGTCCTGTGTTACATAGTCAGAGATGATAGACTCCATGTCGTCAGGCTGACCTCAAATTTCTGAGAGTTCATTTTCCCCTCCACAGAAATGAAGATGGGCTTAAAACAAAGCGGATCTCCCTGTTTACCACCAGAGGGCGCCAGCGTTCTGGAACTGAGGCAGGTGTGTGCCCAACTGGGGGGAGTGTGGGATCCTGGGAATAGGCAAGGCAGGGTAGCTTTGTATCCCTGTTGTATGTTGGGCTTTTCTTTTCCTTTCCTGTTGGAATGTCAGAGATGGCTGGGGTCAGCTGAGAAGTCTGCCAGTGAGTAAATGATGTTAACATACTTCACATGTGTGCACGCCTATGGCCCGGACTCCCAACCTGGAGCCCAGCAATGCTAATAACTGCCTCCCACATACAGAGAGATACCCCAAATCACATACACTAGAGTCGCAGTCCTCATGGGAGCTAGACCATGCCATCTGTGTGGCACAGGAGGAAACTGAGGCTCCTCGTGTACCTCAGTCATCAGAGACCAGTGACTCATACAATAGACAATTCCCCCTCACTGTTCTAGGGGCTGGAAGTCATTTCAAGGTGCATCCATGGTTGGGCTTGGGAGAATCGGGCTTTCTAACTTGCCAACAACCACCTTCCCACTCCCACTCCACCCACACGTGGTGCACAGTCTCTCCAAACAGGGCTCTTCCGTCATGAAGAGTCGACCCCGGTGACTTCATCTAAACCTAACTGCTTCTTCCCAGTGGTCCTGTCTCCAGTCTGAGGGTCACAGATTCTGCATGTTCTCCGTGTTTCCTGACTAGTTCTAGCTCCTGTGACGGAGCCAGGCTTCCACACAGACCGTGGGAGTTCACCTCTGGGGGCAGAGCCAACTCTATCCAATCTTTCTGTTGTCTTATGGCATCTTCTGAGATTCGTTAGAGGCCACGAAGTGTGGCAGAGGGGTACAAGGTCTTCCCATGCTTCAAGAGTGGAACTTTCCCTGGAGTTGATGTTTTTCACTCGTATAGCCAGTGCCCTGTGGGGAATTCCTCAGGAAAGACTCTGTCCTTCAGGGAAACCCTGCCTAGTGGCAAACAATTGGTCTGCCCTTTGCCCCTTAAGTAGTAACTTCTTATTCTTTGGCTATAATAGTGGTAGGTAGGTGTCTGTGTTTGGGGGTGGATTCTGACAAGGTCTCTCACTGGCTTGGAACTCAATAAGCAGGTTAGGCTGGCTGGCCGTTAAGCCCCAAGAATCCATTTGTCTCTGCTTCTCCAGCACTGGGATTACAAGTGTGTTCCACACACATCCAGGTTTGTTTTTTGATTGGGGGGGTTGGAGGGTGGGTTCTGAGAATTGAACTCAGGTCCTTCCAAGGCGGGCACTTTATAGATTAAGTCATCTCCTTTATTTTACTTTCAACTGTCAAGTCATAACTGCATGCATTTATAGGACACAAGGTACCACTGATCTGTTATAGGACACAAGGTACCAATGATCAGATCAGAGACCACTGGCATCTCCATCACCCCAGACTGGCTTGACTGTGTTAGGAACATTGAAAGTCCTCTCTGCTAGCAGTTTTGAAATGTACAAACGTTGCTGTCAGATGAGGCTGTCCTGCTGGGCTGTGGAACACCAGGGTCTCTTCTTCCTGTCGGCCACGCAGCAGCCCTACACCGCCTGTCCATTCTCTCTCCCTCCCTCACCCCTGTACCCTCCCCATTCTCTGCTAACTGCTATTCTACACTCTCCTCTGTGAGATCAACGTTTGTTCACATCTGAGACTCTAAAACCAGCTACACTTACAGAATATCCATCAGGATGCTATCCCGTAGTTCGTAGGTCATTTTAAACAGACTGGCACTTTCTTCTCTGGCTTGAAGGCTTGAACATGACCAGAACAGGTGCTGAGAGGCGAGGCTGAGAAATGCTACAGAGGCCAAGATGCGTTTGCAAGAGACAAACACCACAGGCCACACTTGTTGCACTTCTCGGGCTGCCGTATGCATGCGGGTACACGCAGTGGCTTGCATGTCAGTCCTGTACGAGTATGTGGGTTTCATATCATTGACCGAGTAACTACTGGTGGGACAGAATCCAAAAACAGAAGTAAGTAAGTGCAGTCTACCTTACTGTATCTGTGAGACCAACTAGCTGCAGACTGGAAAGTGTGTGGAAAAAAGTTGCATCTGTACCAAATCCTGCACACGTTTTTTTCTATTCCCTAAACAACACAGTATGACAGCTATTCCCACCACATCCCAGTGACAGACAACACAGGCCACCTAGACATGATCCGGAGGCTACCAGAGGATATGTGTGGGTTTTGCATGTCTATATGAGGAACTTAATATAGACATGTTGTAGAGGGCACATCCTGGAGCAGTACCTCGGGTTCCTGTGTACAAATGTAATAATATATTAGCAAATGTGGTGTTGTAATTTAGTAGAAAAACTGTTTTCAGGTTTTAACTGAATGTTGGTGTGACTAGCTAGGAGGAAATGCAGTATCACTGACCTTCCTTATGTCAGTGACAACAATGCCCACCGGGATAGCAGGCTTGTGTTAATAATAATAATAGTAATAATTAATAATAATAATAATAATAGCACTAATGATACTTTAGAGGACACTTGTGTGGTTTGGAGTGGGGGCTGACTTCTAAAAGCTGGCTGGGAAATCTTGTCATCTTCTTTTATTTTTGTACATGGTCTCACACTGTAGACTAGGCTGACTTGGAAACTCACTCTGTAGCCCCAAAAACGATCATCTTACCCATCCTCTCAAGAGCTGAGACTATAGGTGTGGCATACCCTGCCCCCCACAACATCTTAAAGCCCCAAATCTTGGCTTTGTAAAAATTGGAAAGTTTTATTTGGTAAAAGACATTATTTGCTTCCTGCAAACTTCTGAGAACTACTTCCCAAGGAAATCACTGTGACACTGATGGGCACACAAGTCTCTAATATATAAAGAATGCTTGTAATTTGTTCATACATATTCATGAATTATTATATGAATATATATACATATACATGTGTACATATATATATGAACATGACAACCCCATAAGAAAAAAATGATAACAAATAATAAAGTTTTGAAAAATAGATCCAGACAGCCAGGAGACAGATACAGAGATCCCTTGCTATACTAACAGGGAAATACAGTTTATGAATTTCCCTAACTGGGTCTTTCTGTTTTATTTTTTCCTGCATTGGAGTATAGGACCCAAGGCTTTGGGCATGCTGGGCAAGTACTCGGCCACTGAGTCATTCCCTCAGCCCAGCTGGCCCCTCAGTCTTAGGACATCGAGTACAGATGTGAGAACTTGGAAAGAAAGAGAAACAAACACTATATCTCCCTGGGGCCAAGTGGGACAGTGGACAAGAACACAGGCTGGGAACAGCATCAGTCGCTTGCCGGAGGACACCTGTGTGCTCTGCCTTCTACTTAAGCACACGGGGTCCTTTTGGAGACCAAGGTGACGGTACTGGAAGGTAGACCAGTTGCTCAGTGGGGCCAGAGACAGCACGTAGAAACTGCTGTACAGGAAGGTCAGGCTGCATAGTGAGAAAGTCACCGCAGTGACCTGGTAGCCAGTGGAGGAGGCCATACTGTCAAAGACTTCCTGGCAGAGGGCATCATGGCAATGGTAGATGACAAAGACCTCCTGGTTTTTCAATTGGGTCTGGAATTTCAAGGGCCACCCTTGAGTGAAACTCAGGCAAGGAGCCCTTGCCAGCCCTGTTCCTCAGTAGAGTAGTTCTCTCAGGGCGGTTGACCGGGGGTAAAGAGTTATCTATAAAAGACAGCTTGTTTGAGGATGGACAGTTAAACTCCAGGGAGGTTCACGTACATTCAAGCAGTCATATTTGTGCAGTTGCCGTGTCCAAAAATAATTTGGGTGACCATTTTTACGGTAAAATTCAGACGAGTGGGGTCATAAATAACTTATGAATAAATAGCAGTTCATAAATACCTCTAGCTGTGCTCTCCCCAGCCTAGTTTCCACAGTTTTGAGCAGTTGGCTGGGGGGTGTGACAGGTGTCGCCTCCGTTCCGAGCTGTGGCTCCTTATTCCCCTCATCCATCACTTAAGAGGCCTTCATAAACACCAGAGCGAGACTTCAGACTTGGCCGGCCCCACAGCCAGATGCTCAGTGTTCCCTCCATGGGCTACAGAGCACCCCTTTCCCCCGTTAGACGCCCTCCCAGGAAAATGTGAGGCCATTTCATCAAAAGGGAGAAGAAAGCGCTTTTGAGCATCTTTCCTCGGGACAAGGTGTAGGACAAAGTCGCCTTGGCAAGCCCGCTGCAGTGCTGTTTCCACGGCTGCAGGAAATCCTGCTCAGAGTGCAGCAGGCTGGGCAGGGTTCTCTTGACATTCATCTTAGTAGTCTGGCATCGCCTCTCTCCCAGAGTGTTCTCTGAGGCCAGGTTTCCTCGTGGTCATCCGTTCTGCCACTCCATGAGTGAAGAGATGCCCACGCTGAGGGAAGCAATTGTATCTAGGCAACGGAACATGATTTCGGCCCCACAAAAGAATGTTGCCTTCTCCATCCTCTACGTCTCCTGCTGGCAGTCCCAACAGGGGACTTTGAGCCAGTGCCTGCATCCTGGATGCCCTGATTCATGGTGGGATATCCTGTCCTTTCTCCCTGCTTGTTGCAGGAAGAATAAAGGTTCCTCAGAGATCCTGCTGTAGTGTAAACCCCTGAGTCCCATTAATGTGTGTTTCCAAGCTCTGTATGACATTCTTTCTCTGCACATAGGCTCGGGTGCTGTGGAAACGGCAAACGTGACGTGATCTTAATGGTAATCCCATAATTAGCCTCATGAATGAACTTACTTGAATACTAAAGAGTTGGCTGGGTTTTCAGAGAGTAACATGTTAAACAACATTTATTTTAAAAAACTGGCTCATAGTATGTTTCTGTGTTAATTAGCTCTTTCTTTCATTGAAGAGGTAATGCTGTATGTTTTAAAACAAAATGAGTATTTGGCTTTCTAGTAAATTCTCTAGATGTGACTGTGACTCTGTATAGCACACACATAGATATGTGTCTGTGCATGTGTGTTGTATGTACATGCATGCATATAACACTCGAGTGATGGGCTAATACACGTGTGTATATCTGCAGATATTTTCTGCCACAAGCCCTTTAAGGGACATGGCTCTGCACCTGGCTCTTCCAATTCCCCAGAAGCCTCCACTTTACATACATGTGACCTGTACCATGCTTTGTAATCATTGCACCTTATTCCATTGCTCAGCAAATCCCCTGCGGACATGCAGCAATGAAGAGCATGCCACTCTCCTTTCAATCTTTGTCTCGTGTGCATGCACGGATGTCTGTAGCATTAGAATCGGTAGATCAGGGAGATGAGGTTTCCCAACATGCTCTGTGGGCATCACAGCGGTTTGTATGGCACCTCTGCACAGCAGCCGTCTGGGACTGCCCAGAAGCAAGGTCTCTTCTGACTTTCATTGGCAGCATGCATGCTAGAATTCCCAGCTTTCCTGAGCGAATCACTGGAGGTCCTTTGTCTGAATGAGAATCACCTCGACGCAGTCCCTCCGTCCGTCTGCCTGCTGAAGAACTTATCGGAGCTCTACTTGGGCAGGTAAGTTCATGTTGAGGGCAGGTGCAGCCCAGAGAAGCAGAAATCCTCCCTCACATCACTGGGGACCAGGCAGAAAGAAGGAAGCCATCCACATACCAAGACACAGAGCGGGGCTTCCCGACTGGGTGTGATCTGAAAGGGGGGGAGGAAGATGAGCGTCCACAGTTTGCTGCTTGGCTGGGGGGCATGAGGAGGACAGCTGAGACCCTGACCCCTCATGCACTGAACTTTAACGTGTGCCAGATCCCATTGGGGCTTAAGCAGCAGGTAAAACTTGAGGGCCGCAGAAAGTGTTGCATTAAGATTGGAAACAAGAGTAAAATGACAGACTCTAGATATCCCCTATGTGGAAGGATTTGGCAATAGGGTGGGAGGGAGGGGGGAAGGGGAGTGCGGGAGGAGGGGAGGGAGAGGGAACTGGGATTGACATGTAAAACAAGCTATTTAAAATTAAAATAAAAAATGATAAAAAAAACTTAAAAAAAAAGATTGGAAACGGAGAGCCTTTGCAAGGGGGAGTGGTGGCCATCTTGATGGTAATGTCGTTAGTGAAAGAGAGAGAGAGAGCAGTTGTGGGCAGAGACTCAGTTTGAAGCTGTAGTGACTCAGTGAAGACAGAAATAATGCTTCCACTACTGGTGATGGAGAGGTCTGAAGGCCTTAGATCTTAAAGGGGTTTAAATGAAAGGCTGAAATTAATGACCACGGTGCATGGCTTGGAATGGAGCTTGGCCGTGGCCCCTGCAGACTGCAGTGGCTGTGACAGCTGTAGGCTACGTGTTCATGTGAGTGCTTGTTCTCTCTTCAGTAATCCCGGGCTCCGAGAGCTCCCTCCCGAGCTAGGCCAACTGGGAAACCTCTGGCAACTGGACATTGAAGACCTCAACATTGGCAATGTGCCTGCAGAGGTCAGGAAAGAAGGTAGGGCCTCCTCAGCCCTGTTCCCGTCACCGCCTTGGAAAGATAACTCAGGTTCCCTTGGTAGCTTTGAAGGATGGAGTCAGTGGGTGAATGAACCATGGGGCCCAACTCCAACCTCAGAGTTTGGGAAAATGCTAGGAAAGTGGTCCCAACACAGTAGCTACCAACGGCGATTGAGGATGGCTAGGTAGTAAGGTATGCCGGCCAGGGCAGCACGGACGTTATCCTTCAGCCCTGGCTGTCACATTTAATTTTGGGGGTAGTTATTGTCATCCCTGCCTGCTCTCAGATTCCTCACCTTCCCTTGGAACACATAGAAATTGGGATGGAATTTGGCCTCCTGAGAAATGTGAGTGTATCCCCGTTATATATAACTTAGGGTGTCCACTTGTCCACTCCTGATGTCCCACAGGCCCCAAAGCAACACTGTCCTTCCTGCGTGCTCAGCTTCGCAAAGCAGAGAAGTGTAAGCTGGTGAAGATGATCCTCGTGGGCCCCCCACGCCAGGGCAAGTCCACACTCCTGGAGATCTTACAGACGGGGAAGGCCCCCCAGGTAGCACACAGCGAGGCCACCATCAGGACCACCAAGTGGGAGCTCCAGAGGCCAGCAGGCTCCAAAGCCAAGGTGAAGGATGGTGACATGCAGTGGGCGGGAGGGACCTCCCTGTGGTCTGTTGTCATTCCCCCAGAGACCCTGGACATTCTGAGTGCCAGGCTCAAGATGTGCTGCTCTACCCCAGCTGTCGCCAAGAGTTACGAATCAGCTCTTTCCAGGACCTGGTAGTCTTTCTGTCATAATGAAGCCAAGGCTCTGGGCCAGAGGTTCTTGACCCTGCTTGTCTGCTGGATTCCCTGGTGGGGCTCTTAATGAGTGCATGCTCAGACTTCAAATCTGGCCTCCGGGACTTAGCTTCAAATAGGTTGGGGCAGGGCTCTCCGAGGGCTACGAACAAAGCACCTCGGCAGATAGTGAGGTACACCTCAGCTTCTCTTGGCCCCCTTAAAAGGAGGCTGAGAGGGTACCCCAGGAGTCAGTGCCCCGTCCTCCCTGCTTCCTGCTTCCATTCAAGCCATGAAAAGTTCCATTCAATTCATCCTGTTTAAGATGAATTCTTCACCAACTTGTTCATCATCTTCGTTTCTATTCAGGACCAAGCAAGTAGAAATAAACATTTTTTTAGCCTTTTGAGGCAGAAAAGAACCAGTGGGATCTCAGGCTGGTACTCATGTTAGTTATTTTTATGCTGTTGTGACCAAAATGCAAAATACCTGTCAGAAATGACTTAGAGGGGAGCACATGTGTGTGGTTCATTCCACCGCTGCGTGGCCCCTTCTGTCGAGCAGAACATCGTGATGAAGACAGCTGTTCACACTCTGGGGGACAGGAAGCAGGGAGTGACAGGAAGTGGCCAGGATAATATCCTCCCGAGGACCCGCCTCTAGTGACCTACTCCCCCAAGTCTCACCTCCCACGTCTCTAGAAACCTCCTAAGATTTCACCAGCAGGGGACCAAGTGTTCAAGACACAAGCCACTATCAGGTGTTCCCAGTTAAAACCGTAAGGGCACTCCATCCGAAGAACAGACGCAAAGTGGCTTTGCGCTGAGTGCCAGACAGTGCTGTCCGCATCTGCTGTGTGTGTCTCTGCCTTACTGGTGATTCGGGGATGCACGGTGGAGGAAGGGTGACGGGCAGAGAGCTGAGAGGCTGTGTCCAGATGGGGCCTGGTTTTCTTCTCCAAGCCCAGCACAATGAGGGCTAAGTCTGATTGCAGAGTTTTTCCACATAAAACCCCATTCCAAACCAGGGAGATCCAGTTTGAGAAGCAGAGCCTTCCGAGGGTGTAAGCGAACATACTCGGGGCTGCCCCCCCCTAAGAATGGGACCCTTGGGGCTAGGAGCACACATCGGTGGGACAGCCTGTGCCAGGCCATAAGTTCAATCCCCAGCACCCGAAATAAAAATAAGAGCAGGGCCCTGCCCGCTGGGTTCCGAACAGTGCGGTAATGAATGCCAGGCCCACTCGGAACAGACAGGGAGTGACTCTAGCTGACTCACGTCTGACGGGTCTCTCGAATAACCAGAATTTTCTGCAGTGCCCTTGGCTTTGCTGTTTTGACAGTGACTCAGTCACTTTTGCTCCCAGCTTTTCTTCAGTGCCTGGGTGCCCAGGCTCGAAGGGTGAAACCGCCTTCACTCGAAAGCCACGGCGGCTCTCGTGGGCACCCAGGCCCCTCCCGCCCCATGCGGCTGACCTTTAGCTGGCCAAGAGCAGCTGTCTGCTTTCATCTGTATACAAAACCAGGTCAGCACGCTGTATGTCTTGGAGGCCAAATGCTGCCTCATGGAAATGACTCCTGGCTATAGCTCCCTGCAGTCTTGGCTTCTAGGCCAGCTCTGAGCTCATGCAGTGAGAGAGAGACCGTTTCCCGGCCTTCCTGGCAACCCAGTTCCTGTTGTTGGGTTCTCAATTCAGGGGGCTTTCCCAAACCTCGCTGGTGGGCCCCAACCTTTGACCTACATAAGTTCAAGGGTGCCTCCTCCTTTTGGCCCCTGCACAGATAGGGTGGAGCCGTGATGTCAAAGTGGGGGCCCTCCTGCCACCAGATGTCTTCCAACTGTGGGGAGCCTAAGATAAGCAACACCACAGGCCATGATCTCCTCAGATGCCCAGCTCTGTTTGCAGCAAATGGAAGCCCCAGAAGTCTGCCTTTGGACCACTGGGCTCTTTTCCCTCGCCAGGATTGCTAAATTAGACATGGAGTCTGTGACTTTTCCGCCACTGCCGCCGCCATGTCTCTTCCAGATCCGATCCACGTTGTAAATTTTCTTGCGGTTCCCTCACCCCCGTGGTCACTCAAATGCGCCCCCTTCTGTGCCTGGTTGCTCAAGTAGGTTGAGTCTGTGGAGTTCAACGTCTGGGACATTGGGGGTCCTGCCAGCATGGCCACCGTCAATCAGTGCTTCTTCACGGACAAGGCCCTGTACGTGGTGGTCTGGAACCTGGCACTGGGGGAGGAAGCCGTGGCCAACCTCCAGTTCTGGCTGCTCAACATCGAGGTGAGGAGCCACCGTCTTCGCCTTCTAGTGCTCGGGACCCAGCTCCCCAGGGTCCTGTGTCCCGAAGCATTGCGTGGGTCAAGAACAAAGGGCCAGTGCACCGGAGAAACACTGTTCTTGCTGCAGGGCTTTCCCAGGGCCCCATCGTGGCCTTGCATGGTTTCACAGAGAACTCAGAGGCCTCCTGGTCCTCAGGGCCCACTGCTCTTGTCATTTCTTATTTACCTGAAACCTAGCAGCCCACGCGTGCGAGGCACTCCCTCCCAGGGTAAGGGCGCCACTGGCCTGGCACAGGCCTCTCCCTCAGGTGGCTAGAAGGACCAGACATCCCTCTCCATGGGCTACCCTGCATGAAGTGGGCCATAGAGAGCCTCAGTTGGCCGTAATGTTCAAGTGCACAGAAGGTGACTGAGTGTGGGCCACTAACATCCAGGGTTGGCACATTTGCACACTGAGGAAGCCACTTCCCACTCTCTATTCAGGGAAAAAAATAGGACTCAGCTGTGGGATTCTCTGTTACAGGCCAAGGCCCCAAATGCTGTTGTGCTGGTGGTTGGGACACACCTGGACCTAATCGAAGCCAAATTCCGAGTGGAGAGAATAGCTACACTGCGTGCCTACGTGCTGGCACTGTGCCGCTCGCCGTCAGGGTCCAGAGCTACGGGCTTCCCGGATATCACTTTCAAACACTTGCAGTGAGTGTCACCTGCCTCTCTCTCGCTGCCGCCGCCGTGTGTGCTCTGTTCACCAGGACCCCAAATCAGCTGGTATCTGTCCTGGGGATGGACCAAGCTCCTCTGGACAGAGGGTGGTACCAGAGCAGGGCATGGCTCATAGATGACTAGAGACGGCCTCAAGACACCCTAACTGTGACCCCTTCTGGGCCCTCCTCCCATCGGGACCCAGCACACAGCTCCCATGGGACAAAGAGACAGACTTGACCACATCCATAGTATTTTCAGATCACTGACGGAGGCAGACATTCCAGTCCTTGCCCCTGATCCAAGTAGATGTGAGAGCAGCTAATGGGTCTGAAAGTAGCTGCCGAGGGTGAAGGGGGCGGGGCTGGTGCAGGTGAGACTGGGTGTGTCGCTCAGTTTACCTCTTGTCTGTAGCCATCACATCGTCAGGGCTCTTGTACTCATTTTTCATCGAGACTCCCTGATCAGAACAGCATGAGTGTTATTGCAGCTACTCTTGGATCCCCTCACTCTGGATGAGACAGCATGGGTGCAGGTGTTCGGTCTCTTTTCCACTTTGGGCACTTTGGGCCGTATACGTCTTTAGTCCTGCCTAAAGTGGGTGTGGTTAGCGGTGTGGTAAACCGCCCTTTTATTACCACATCTGTATGCGCCTCTAATAAGTCACATGTTTAATGGCGGCATCAGACTTCCTCCTACAGTAGGGTCCCCAGCATAGGGCTACACACAGAGCAAAGCCTCCAGAGCCTTCCTGTTCTCTCTTTAACAACTTGTTGGCATTTGGGACATACCTCCAGGGAGACAGGGATGCTCCCAAACAAAGAGGTGGTGTGTTGATTAAGCTCTGATATCTTTGCACACACAGTGAGATCTCCTGCAAGAACCTGGAGGGGCAGGAAGGGCTACGGCAACTGATTTTCCACGTCACGTGCAGCATGAAGGATGTGGGCAGCACCATTGGCTGTCAGAAACTTGCTGGCAGGCTGGTAAGTGTCCCCTCATCGAGTTAAGCCAGAGGGTCCCACTTCCCACTGCTGGGATCCAACTTAAACCCTTCAGCCATTTTCTGTAAGGCAGACGTGTGTGTGTGTGTGTGTGTGTGTGTGTGTGTGTGTGTGTGTCTGTGTGTCTGTGTGTGTCTGTGTGTGTGTGTGTGTGTGTGTTTAAAGTCAGTAGTTCCGGCGGGAGCAGGGCAGGGTCATTCTTCTATCGCAATAGTCCTGGCATTACTAAGTCTGTTGTCCCTCTGTCTGTGTGCATGTCCCCAGCTGAGGTGGAGCAAAGGCATGCCCTGACTTTGTTCTGCAGTTCTCACCCTTCAAATGCATGTTCTCTGGCCCTAGGACCAGACAGTGGGGGGGGTTGGTGGGGAGTGTTGGTGCAGGCAGCACCCCTTGGACCTGAGGGCCTCGGCCTTGCCCCGCCTGCCCCAGATTCCCAGGAGCTACATCAGCCTACAGGAGGCCGTGCTGGCCGAGCAGCAGCGCCGTCGTCTGGGCGACGAAGTACAGTATCTGACGGACAGGCAGCTGGAACAGCTGGTGGAGCAGACACCTGGCAATGATATCAAAGACTACGAGGACCTGCAGTCTGGTAGGCGGGGAGTGGTACCCAGGGGCATCGGTATGGGGGCCCTGAAGGCCAGGCGGAAGTCCAAAGCCCTTGAGTAGGGCAGGGTGAGGCACCTATGAGGCTCTGCCACAGCTCCACCTGGATCCTCTGCACAGCAGGCTAGCAGGTCCACTGATGACACTCAACATCTCCGACACCTTCGCGGCTCCTCCCACCGCTTCTTGCTGCCACCTCCCCCAGCGTCCCTCCCCCACACCCTCCTTTCCCTGGACAGAGAACATGGCAGCTGCTCTGCAGAGGACACACACAGACACAGCCTGTGTCATCACCCTCCAGGACCTCAGTGCAGGAAGATAGCGAGGATAAACAATTATAGCCAGTTCTTATCACTCATGGAACTTAGCATGTGAAAGGTCACCACAGCTCCTGCATTGGCAGGTGTGAAACCATTGCTCTTGGAGAAATAATAGGACCAGGTTCCTGCCTGCCACCAATGAAGCAGTCGATAACTGTTTATTGTTTCAGATATGCCTCTGTTCTATGCCGTTCTGGTTTCCTTTCGTTTATTGAGATAAAGCACCCTGGCCCGAAGCAGCTTAGGGGAGGAAAGGGTTTCCTTGTCTTGCAATCCCAGGCTACAGTCCATCACCGAGGGGAAGTCAAGGCAGGAACACTGGCAGCTAGTCACATCACATCCAGCAGAGAGAGAAAAACAGCTCAGTTTCTTGGTAGCTTTCTTCATTCTTATGCTATTTAAGACTCTGCCTAGAGAATGGTGCCGCCCACAATGAGCTGGGTCAGTTAATAATCAAGACGATCTCCCACAGACATGCCCACAGGCCAAACTGATCTAGATCATTCCTCAATCACACTCTTCCATGTGATTCTCAGTTGTATCAAGGTGACCATCATAACTAGCCAGCACATATACCTTATTAATTAGTTAATATGTATTACTGATTTTATAGCTCATGCAGTGGCTTCTACAGTTTGTGCCTAAACATTGCTAATCTAATGCCATAATTTTTCAATAAAGCACAGCCTTGTGCTTAGAAACACTAGACAACCCTTTAGCTCTGTGTTTGAAGGTCATTTTAGACAGCAAGATTACCCCCAGGTGCAGAGTTTAAACATGGCGATAGATAGACTATAGAATGGGCATTCATGGGATGAGCACTTAGTTAACAATATGTACACAGAAAAATTCACACTTTTCCCACAGCTCAGCATGTGTCTACGCATAACTATAAAAGCACATCAAGTGTTGTTTGGGGGGTCATAAGTAAATTTCATCAAGAGGTGACCCATAAATTCAGTCTGAGAACAGGGGTTACTTGCAGTTGCTTGGCCACCAATCAACTGAGGACACTGAATTGGGCCTGGAAAAACAAAAGTTTCTTTCTGGGAACAGGGTCATCACTGAGTCCCTTTTGGTTCCTCTGTGATTCTGACCCAGCATCCTCCCTTTCTCCCTGAAGCCATCAGCTTCCTCATAGAAACAGGAGCCCTGCTGCACTTCCCAGACACGAGTCACGGTCTGAGGAACCTCTATTTCCTTGACCCCATCTGGCTGTCTGAATGCCTGCAGAGGATCTTTAGCATCAAGGGCTCACGGTCAGTGGCCAAGAATGGGGTGATCCGAGCCGAGGACCTCAGGATGCTGCTGGTGGGGACAGGCTTCACACAACAGACTGAGGAGCAATACTTCCAGTTCCTGGCCAAGTTTGAGATTGCCCTTCCCGTCGCCAATGACAGGTGAGGTCACAGCCCCGGTATGTGCTGAAGGAAGGAGTGGATCTGAGGACGCTGGTGGCCTCATCGAGATTTCCAGGGCTACCACCACCAGGATAGCTAGCTCCCAAGGATGGCCAGTTACCTAGCCTAGGTCAGCAGGAGGGTAGGTGCAACACCCTGTATCTAGTACCATGGGCTACTCTTTTCAGGCAGTTGGAAGAAATCCACTTATTGAAAAGGGGTTAGAAAAGCATGCAAAGGGAGTTCTCCTTGGGGCAGTTGTTATATTGGTATCACAATGAATGAAAACAGTCTGTGACATGGGCCCACATGTCAGTTATGCAGCCTCAGACCACACTCACAAATTATTAAGAATGGATAGCTTGACAGGTTCAGGCCTGGGCCTCCACAATGCTGCTTCCTGAGGCCTGGGCCTCCACAATGCTGCTTCCTGGAAGGCTGGTGTAACACTTGGAAGCATATCCAAGACACCTGCTTTCTGCTACCTCATCTCATTGGGCACCTCATCCACACTGCCCAAAATTCTTCTCCATGACCTTAACATCTGCTTCTCACTCTACTCCTCCACTGTGTAACTCTACCACCTTCCAAGTGCTATTCTTCTGTGTAGGCTGAGTTTTTCCATCCTGACTATCCACTTTCTGCCCCGGCAGCTGCTTCCAAATTACCACACAGAGGCTCGGCCAATAGCTCAGGCTTACTACTAACTATCTCTTACATTTTAAGTTAGCCCATATTCTTTATTTAGACTCTGCCACATGGTGGTACCTTCATTAACATGGCACATTCATCTCCTGCTCCCTCGGTGTCTACCGTGACTCCTCTGACTCTGCCCTCCCTCATCCCATCATTCTTGACTTTCCCACGTAATTGTATGCTGTTCAGCTACTGGCCCATCAGCTTGTCTATTAAACCAATCACAGTGACATATATTCACATAGTGTAAAGGAATATTCCAAAGCACTTCTGATCATACTGAGGACATCTACACTAGTCTCCACTCATTTGTAGTTTCGCTTTCTACAGGTTCATCTTCCAGTAGACCAGCTGAGTGTGAAAATACACAATAGAAAATGCTATAAACAATCCTTTCATTTAAAATGCTACAACATTCCCAGCAGCACAATGAAACCTCTCACTATCCCACTCTGACCCACTGGAACATACCTCATCCTCTGTCCAGTGTATCCATGCTATATAATCTTACCCCCTGCTAAGCAACTACCTTGGTTATAAACTGAACTGTTCTGATATGTCTTTGCTTATGTTTAATCCCCTGTCTTATTTGCTAAAGGCCCAAAGCATGAAGGTGCTGATGTTGGAAATTTATGACAACATGTTGTCATAATTGTTCTATTGTTGTTTCATCATAGTGTCTCTCACTACTTCAGGTGATATTCTCTTTCTTGAGGTCCATTTTGTCTGATTTTAAAATAACCACAGACCAGTTTTGGAGGTTGTTGTAATTTAAAAAATGTCATGAAGAGAAGTCATGTCATACAACAGGACTCACATAGGAGTACTGAAAGAGGAGAGAGAAGAGGCAGAAAAAGGGGCAGAGAGGCTGGCAGAGACTGGTCCCTAGGGGCATGAGTGGTGGAAGAGAAAGAGAAAGAGGTGGGAGGGAAAGACAGAAAAATAGGAGGTGGGCAGGGTCCTTTTAAAAGGAAACTAGTGAATGTGCATAGGTGCTGCTCTTAGTGGCTGCAGCTGAGGGTGTTATCCTGTCAGAACCCCAAGGACAGGCCAGTATAAGTGCTTGAATATTAACAGAGGTTTTTTTTTTAGCTTCTAACTACAGCTGTCCCTATTTCCCCCAATTCTTTTATCATAAATTTATTTGGGTATTTACAATATAATCAATATCTTATTGCCAGTTAATTGTCTAACCTGATGCTCTATGTCTTGAATAGGAATACTTAACTCATTTACATTGAGAAATTAGTTTTATAGTTGGATTTAAGCCTAGTAGATTGCCATTTGTTTTCTATGTATACCACTTAGTTTTTTCCTTTGTTCATTTTGTTCTGCCCTCTTCTGAGTTAGTCACATTTTCAGTCTTTTTATTCATTGGTGTGGTCTTCAGCGGCTCTGATGAGTATTAGAATATGTGTCTTCAATAGTGTGTTGATGATTTCTTCTTCCCACCACCACCTGCATTAGTCAACGTCAGCGCTAACCCTCCTGAACATGAGAACTGCCAATGCCCCAAACCCTGGAGTGAGACCCCTGAGAGGACCAGGGCTGAGAAGAGCACATGGGGACCAGATCTCTGGTGGCTACCCAGTCTCCATTCATGTCCTGGGTTGTTTCATCCTGGCTTTGATGGCAGTAGCTACTATCCCAAATCTGTAGACCTTTATGGTGCACATGACCTAGAATACACCATCACTCTGTACCCCCAACTCTAGAGCCCTGCAGTGGTGCCACTAGAGACTTCTAGGGAGCTGGCTTGTCCCGGGGCAGCCATTCTAGAGATTCTGTTGGTGTGAACCAGTTATCCACAGAAACAGCTCTCTTTTACACTTGGCCATATGGGTTTGGGGTCAGGGGGTAGAGCAGGGAGGGCTCAAGACTTTCTTGCTCCATTTATATGGGGCCATGAGCAGAGTCCTAAAGAGAGAAACCTCTAAAAGAAATTCAAGGTCTGTTTCATGGCCCCTCGTTCCATATCCTTGCTACTGGCCAATAAAAGCTCAAGATGTCAGTTTACACTGCCATGATCTAACAACATCCAGGTTTTATATCAGTGGATCAAAGGAGTAAGGATATATTAGCATCCAGTTAGAGTATCGTGTGTGTGTGTGTGTGTGTGTGTGTGTGTGTGTGTATCACTCTACCTATGAGGTTGAACAATAGAAGTCAGTCAGATTATTGCCAAGTCCAAGGAAGTTCCTGCACAGTGGGTTGAAGCATAGAACCGGACTGCCAGAGAATGAGCCCGAGATACCCTTTTTTCTCCCCTGCAGAATAACAATAATACTGTTACCTATTGTTATTATCCTTGCTGTCAGGAGTAAATTAGATCATATTACATAGGGTCCTGTCTCTTACACCTAGGAGCTCCCAAGGATGGTAGGAAACAGCAGCACTGCTCTTACGGTTTTGTCATGTTAAATCCTGTGGCCCGTGTGTCTGGGTCTGCACAAAGCTGTGAGTAACAGAATATTTCCCATCCTAGTGGCACACATTTCCTTTGTGCTTCCTTATATCAGCCATGAAGCTATGGTCTCTGAATCTATACAGACACACAGATCTTAGATGCCCCTTTGAGATCTAGGTTGTCCACCTGCAGCCCATGAACCACACCCTGCCCCTGACAAACCCTTCAGAAACTCTCCAGATTGATGACCCTCCAAAACCTATCCGTCCCAGCATTTCTGTTTGTATGGCTAAATGCCTTCGCTCTTACTCGTCTCTGGAAGGCCCCAACCCCACATCTGAGACCATCTCAGTGGAGTAACATTCACTAGACCATCTCCTCAGAGGGAACGCTATGACCTGCCCAGGGTCCATCAGCTGATGGGTAGTCATCAGATGCAGGAATAATTCATTTCTGCAGTCCAATCTTGTTGACCCCTTGGGACAGCCTTTCTGACTCCTATTGTTCTCCAGCCAGGTGCAACGGTCTGCCCAGGGACTATTCCATTCCAGATCTGGCTTCCATGGCCAGTCATATTTTGAACTCTGAATTTGCTGTCTAGATTATCCCTGCCTTTAAAATTCTTGATGAGTGCCTATTCTATGTGCAGACATCTCTCTTCAACACATACCTACAAAGAGAGGGAAAATCCAGAAGCCATTTTCACAGGGCATGGCTTATGTGTTGGGGACCTAGACTGAGGGATATGCAAGTAGGCACTTTAAGAGTCTCCTGTTCAAGAGAGGGACTCTGCACAGAGGAACAATAAGCAGTTGTTAGGATGTAGGGAAGTAAGGCAGGATGGTGGGATGAAGGAACAGGAAGGCATCATCCCGATGGTATAGCAGGTGTCTGTACCAACTCACCTGTGCATCCCTTGGCCAACCTCTCTAACCCATCTCTGTAGGCATCCCTTCCTTCCCCGCAAGGCTCAAGATACACAGGGCAACCAAGTTAGTGCTGAGACTGGGGTGGAGGGGCAAGTTGTCATTGAATTTCCCTTATACAGTTGTCCCTTAAGCCCATGAGGGATTGACACCAGGACACAGGATTCTCAAATACCTTATGAAAATAGTATAGAACCCACATCCCATCTCTGAATACCTAGATGACTTAAAATGCCTTCTGCTATGTTGCTAAGGGAGTGCTTATTATAGAAGAATGAAATGACATTAAGTAAAGACTATATATATATGTATATATATATATATATGTTAAGCCCAAGGTTGGTGAACTACATAGATATGGAACCATGAATCTGGAAAGACAATTGTATCAAGCATTAGGAGAGTCTCATCTAGAAAGTTTCAAAGATTTTTATTGCACTTAAACAGCTGTATTTTTATTTTAATTCAAATACAATCATTTCCCCCTCTCTTTTCCTTCCTCAAACCCCTCCTTGTCCCTCCTTCCAGTCTCTCTCATCCTCCCTCCCTTCCTCTCAAATTCATGGTTTCTTTTTCTTTTATTTTATTGTTGCTATGTATACATGCATAAATGATATCAATATATGAAAGAAGCTGGTGAATCTGTTTATCATTGCATGTGCATGATTTCAAGACTGACCTCTTGGTACCTCTTGGCCAGTTGAAAGACTCCTCCCTAGGAAACCCTGGTTCTCCCTCTCTCGCAGTCTCATTAGTTGTATGTAGTTCTTATCTCAGGTTGGGGCCCCGTGACGTTCCCCACTTCATTTTTGTGGTGGCTCTTGGTGTTGTCACTGTTCAGGTCATATTTGGGTAGTCATGGTATCACGGGTTCATAGGATCACAGCAGGATATGACTGTTGATGGCTCCCCTCTCTATCAGCTTGCACAGTGCCTTCTGGTGCTATGAAAGCCAGCCCTCGTGGAGAAGACTTTCAGGTTAGATCCTGTGTCTGAAGTGTTGTCCCTGTGCAGGGACCACGGGGACTTCACTTAAACCTTTGAGAGGCGACGAAGGGCAAAGGCAGTAGCTTATGTTGTTTTGAGAATCTCTTGGATTCCTGACCAAGAGCTTGACAGATGGTTTCTCATGTCTGGTGCTGGAGTTTTTGTCATGTGGCCTACAGCACTTGGAGGGGGGGGGCATTGTCAGTAAGACTGGGATTGCTGAAGGTAAAGTCTTTAGTAAGAAGTGATTCCAGGGGACCTCACAACTATCTATAAATAGTCCCAAGAGTTCTAATGCTCTCTTCTGGCCTCCACAGGCACTACACACACATGCAGGCAAAACATCTACGTGCATGATAATAAGTTTCTTAAGAGAAAGAATCCAGCCTCTGCATCAACAGACTATCCCCTGTGCCTGCTCTGTGCCTGCCCCTCGGCTCATAGTTCATAGCACATAGTAGATATCACTTTCCAGATGCGTTTGTGGGGAGGAACTTCCTGGCTGTCAGCTTTTAAAAATGACAATAGACAAGAACACCTAGGTCACATAGTGACGCAACATTTTAACAATGACTCTGTCCACTTATGTTCTCATAAAACGTCATTTGTTTTGTGCAAAACCACCATGTTCTAATTTTTAAGGCTGTTGTATTGTTTTAATTAGCCAAGAACAATAAACAGCTCCGAAGACCAAAAACCAGTTACCCTGACCCCAGCATCTGCATTGTCCTCGGAACTGTGCAGCTGTATTTGGTTTTCCTCCACCAACCAAAGTCAGCATTAAGTGATTTCACAATCGCAACCCAGTTTTCTGAGAAGCAACTCTGATTTGCTGCGTCTGGTAGTTTTTTATGTCTTCATATCTTCCCTCCACATCATTATAGTTTCTCGAACTCTGTAGGGAGGTCCCTGGCAGCCGAGGCCTTGTGAGCAAAGGCCTTCCCACAGTCCAGCATCTCAGGGACCAGGGTCCTGCCGTGGCTCTCGGGCCACGATAATCACCTCTCTCCTTATGTGTTTCAGCTACCTCCTACCACACCTCCTTCCATCCAAACCTGGGCTGGACACGCACAGCATGCGGCACCCAATGGGTAACACCATCCAGCGTGTGTTTAAGATGAGCTTCGTGCCTGTTGGCTTCTGGCAAAGGTTCATAGCACGGATGCTGATCAGCTTGGCTGAGATGGACCTGCAGGTAGCTTCTGAGAGGGGATGGGGATGGGGGTGGGGGTTTCTAAAATCACACCTTGGGGGAAGACTACAACTTCTGTGCTGTCATGACCTAACTGAAGGTTGCTCTCCTGCAATGATATGACTGGTGTGGGGCTGAGAAGAAAACAAGGCGTGAATCCCTTGGGGTCCAGACTGGGTATATGTACCCATATGACTTAGCCTAATTTCCTCCATTTCCAAGCCACTGTGGAGCTTGCCCTAGCTGAAGTAGGGCCCCCCCCCCACCAAGCCACCGTAGTTTTGGTGCAGCAACTATGAGCTGGGCCAAGAACTAGCATTTTAATCACACCCCAGGACCCTGACTTCATGGGCTTGCTGTCCTGCCTGTACACTTTGACTTACCTGAAAGGAATCTGTAATTGGCACAGCACTTCTCAGATCACCCATATTTAAAATCTTGGTTGCAAGCATCCATACCCGAGTATCATTGTAAGGACGACCTACGGGAATTGGCTCTCTCTTTCCATCCCATGGGCCCCAGGGATTCAGTGCCAAGCATCTGTACTGAGCCATCTCACTGGATCATCTAAGGATGGGAGGTAGCTACGCCCCCTGGTGATGCCACTCTGCAGCCAAGTGTGGGACCACCGCTGGAAAACAGCCACTTGCTTTGGTACCAGTGAAGAGCCAACCCATGGATTAGGCTCTGTGGGTCCAGCCAGAGTTACGGAGAGGTGGCCCAGTCAACACTGATTTCATGCAAGACAGTAACATATTAGTAATATTTTCCTAGGGTAGTAGTTCTCAAAGTGGGGTTCCCAGACCAGCGAAACTGACCTCACCCCAGATCCGGTGAGAGCTACTCATTACCAAGCCCCAGCTCCAGATCTCCCACCTCAGAAAGTTCAGATGGAGCCCGGCTATCTGCCGTTGACAAGACCTCTAGGGGATCGTGACACTCTAGAGTTTGTGAGCCCCTGACATGCACTCCAGCTGTGGAACTCTTGAATCTTCTTGACGTTGACCTCTGCTTGAGTTTGCTTTGACCACCCTCTAATTAGAGCGACCTTATTGAATTATAACTTCTTGGCTCAGTAAAGACGTTCTTTGATCTTCCCATTTTATGGGAAGAAAAATAAACACGAGAGGCTGAAAATCAATCAAAACTGTTGCAGCCTGTGCTGTGGATGGGGGCGGGGCGGTCTCTTTATGATGCCAAAATAATGCGCTGGCTAACAGAGCGGGTGCTGGCACTGCTTCTCCTAGGGTTCCATCTGTCCCTCTGTCCTCCATTTGAACTGTGTCCTGCAGTGTTCTAAGTGGGAGGTCACTGCGCCCCCGCATTGTGGGAGGCTGAGCTCACAAGGGGGGACCCAGCTGGGAGGGAGCGCCAACAGCATGCCTCTCTGAGAAGTCAATGCAGAATGAAACCCTGTTAAAATTCAGATGGAGGACACAGGGGAGAAGAGTTCAGCCGGAGCATTCATCAAAGACATGCAGATTCCTGCAGCAATAGCTGCTCTATTTGTAAGTCTGTCAGGGCAACAAAGGACCAGCGAGATGCCCAGCCCTGGTGGGCAGTGGCTGTGATGATAGTCTCTGGTTTTCCAAACCTCACTATACACCCGGAGCCTTAAAACTGGCAGACCCTAGACCAGGCATCCCACTGCTGAATGTCTAAGCTGGGGGAACCAGAGAAATCTTTATGTGTTTTCCATATTCATAAGGCTATGTTTCAGACAGAGTGGAAGAGCCAATCTAGTAGGAAGGAGTGGTTGGAGAAATCACTACCGTAGCCTTAGGAAAACGAATTTTAAATGAGTTTTTAATGGCCCGGTAACCCTGATGTTTTCAAAGTATACCTTGTTTTTCAATGCTTGTGATTCATGCTACAGCCTGGGGCATGGTGAGCAACCACTGTTTCAATCGCTGAGCGATATCCCAGGGCCCAAGAGCATGCAGAGTGAGACACACAATCTGAATCACTGTTTTTTACACATATGTGTGCAGCAGGAAAAACTCCTGGACTCATACTTACCAAATCTTAAAGTTCTCCCTTCTGGGTGTCAGGTTGTCAGTTTTATTTTCTGTTACAAGTTTCCGTCCCGTCCACATTATCTATTTAAACATTCCCTTGTGAAGTCCGGGAGGAAAGTGTTCAGAGAAGGACAGCCTATTTGTAATCGCTGGGAAAATCTGTTCCCAGGGTACCCTGGAGACACTTCCAGATCATGTGACCTTTGACTTTGGGGGGGAGGGGATGAGCAACGGGCGTGGGAGGCACGGGTGGAAAGAACTTCAGCGATTTATCAAGATGGGGCCAGGCCGGCCTCTTCAAGCTCTACACAAGGCCATCGAGGAGCCCAGAATTCTTAAGTAGGGTCTTTGCTGTCTGCCTTTCAGCTCTTTGAAAACAAGAAGAATACCAAAAGCAGGAACCGGAAAGTCACCATTTACAGTTTCACGGGAAACCAGAGAAACCGTTGCAGCACATTCAGGGTCAAAAGAAATCAGACCATCTACTGGCAAGAAGGGTTGCTGGTTACTTTCGATGGAGGCTACCTCAGGTGGGAACATCCGGGAGGCCTGCCTGCCCACTGGGTCGGCAGGGTGCCCAAGCAGTGGCCCTGTGATAGCCCTGACAAAGTGCTCCATTTGGAGTCAGAATTCTGCCGCCCGAGAAGGACTTATCATGGTAGCCTGTGGGAAATAAAGACCCTCCTTGTGTCTGTCCCGATGGCCCCTGTATTCCCACCCTCCCTTGACACCTCCTTTCGGATAGGCTGAAGGCAGCCACAGCCCAGGGCTCAAGTTCACTCTGGTTGGGGGAGCAGGGACAAGGAAAAGGTCGGCCCTCTCAGTATCCTGCAGGCACCGGAACCCTGGGGGAAATCACCCCCAGCTCCACGATAGTCTGGCAATAGGCTCCTTTTCATTTCCGGGTCACAGTGTGGAATCCTCAGACGTGAACTGGAAGAAGAAAAAAAGCGGAGGGATTAAAATTATCTGCCAATCAGAAGTGAGGGACTTCTCGGCGATGGCTTTTATCACAGACCATGTCAACTCCCTGATCGATCAGTGGTTTCCTGGTAAGAGAATACTCTGGAGCCAAGCCTTTGACCATGCTTATAGATTTTAAATCAGAACGAGGCTGCCTCTTTGAGAAAGCAAAGTTGCCACCAGGATTCAGCCCTTGGCCTGAGAGCCCTGCACTCTGTGGGAGTCCTGCTCTGGGCCGGTGTGTCCCTGGTGTGGGGACAGTGAGGAAGGCCAGCATTGCTGTGTGCCTTCCTCCTTCCCTGTGTGTCCCTACTCATCCCGGTGGTGACCAAGTCACCCATTTGAATCCACTTCCCCACTGACAACTCACCCAAAGAAAATACTTTTTGAAGCGAATCCTTGGGGGTCCTCTGTCTGTTTTACTCCTGGGGCAGACAGAGAGCAGACAGCAGGAGCAGGCTGTGGGGCAGCCCCAGGAAGGCAGCTGTGGGGTGGAGCCTGCTGAGTGAGCAGAGGACAGAGTAGAGGGTGTGGTCAGGGGTGTGGTCAGGATACCTTGCCTATCACACAAGTCTGCATGAACTGTTCTACTTACCTGTCCCAGAGCCTTCCATCCCAGGAGGACAGGACAATGCTTAAAGATGCGGCAGGACGCCACTGGATACAGAGTCCAGACACAGAGTCTGGCTTCTTTGCATATTGCCTCAAAGAGTGACCGATGTGGAAAGTGGCTTGGGTAGAGGTTCTCAGAGAAAATTAACCAGTGTGTGAGTCAGGGTAACTGGAGGGCTCTTAGCCAGCCAAAGGGGCCCCCAAGACCTGTATCCCCTCTCTGACCACTTCATAGCTCCCTACTGGCCAGTGCCCCACCTTAGTGGGTGCTGGGGATTTGGCAGGTAGACCAAGTAGACAGTAATGTGAGACAGAAGAAACTCGGCCAAGCATTTGAGACAAAGTGTCCTCGAGCCAGCACCAGCGCCAGTGTCCAAGAGTCGCTCACTGTGATATCTGTGAATGTCAGATAGTGCCCAGGGCATCCAAGAATCCACACTGTCTTGTACAAAGCAGGTTGTTGCCCTGCCCCAGGGTACTTCCGTGGGTGTTGGCACCTCCCAATGAGAGGGACACAATGGATCTCCTAACAGGTAAACCCTCATCAAATGCCCAGCTTTCCCATGATCTTTTACACTCATTGTCCCCTGATTTAACTTCCCCACAACACTCCCACAGGCCTTTTGTCTCTAACTTGTACTGACTGCCGTTGGGATAATGGAGCATTGCATGGTTTAACCCCAGCATTTGGGAAGCTGAGACCAGGGAATCCTGAGTTCAAGGCTAGCCTTGGCTACATAGCCAAAGCCTGCCTTAAATCAAAGCAATAAGGCACCCCAGAGTGGTACTGGACTTCTGGCTCCCTGGGACCCAGGCAGGAGCAGGCAGGGCCTCCGGTGTAAAGCAACCAGGCCCGGGTTGTAGGGTACTGCTCAGAAGACCCACTCACATCCAGTTTACAGGCGCCGTCACCTCCTCTGTCCCCGTTTAGCCCTGACAGCCACCGAGAGTGATGGGACACCACTCATGGAGCAGTACGTGCCCTGCCCTGTCTGCGAGACATCGTGGGCCCAGCACACAGACCCGAGTGAGAAGTCAGAGGGCGTGCAGTACTTCGATATGGAAGACTGTGTGCTGACAGCCATTGAACGGGACTTCATCTCCTGCCCCAGACACCCGAACCTCCCGGTGCCACTGCAGGAGCTCGTCCCAGAGCTGTTCATGACTGACTTCCCAGCCAGGTATGGTCCACGACCCCTCCCAGGACAAGCGTGCAGGCTGTGTGCCTCTCCAACCAGCACATGGTGCCCTAACCATGGGGGTGGGGGTGGCAGTAACTGTTCCAGCCATTCCTTCCTGCCAGTCTCGGCAGACTTAGATCCCCACGCTAAGCTTCTGGAGTGAAATCAGACCAATGGCTTTCCATCCACGTCCTCAGCAGGCCCTGCTTCACTGGGCACCATGAGCCACAGGAACACCCGTTCTCCCTGCCCCTCTGTGAGCCAACACGCCTTCCCGCTAAGTTCTTGCCCACTGGAGGACAGAAGGTTGGCACAGGTGCTCACCGACCTCTGTGGAAAGGGCGCATTCCCACACCTGCAGCCTCGTCTTCGTTTTGGGGGGCAAATGCTGATGCCGGGCTGCAGGCACACCCCCGCTCAGTTCTCCTGGCTCATTCCACCTGCATCCTCCCAAGATAGCAATGGGGAGGGGATGCTGTGGAAAGGGACTCTGCTGGTCCCTCCCGAAAGGAAATGGCCACAAAATGTAAGTCCTCCATAAAACAGACCAACGTTAGTGTATGGGAACCCACCCCTGTGGTGGGGACTCCTGGGGACAGTCCTTCAGTCATTTTGGACCTCAGCTGTTTCCAGTCGTTTTGGAGTTGTGGTCAACAATCACTGCCAGTGGTTTCTTTAAAACAACTTATTATTATTATTATCATTATTATTATTATTATTTCCCTCTTCCTCCTTGTGTCTGTTTTTTCTCATTTCTCTGCACTGTCCCCACGGGGCGCTCTCTGAATGACAGCATTGCTGCTCCACATCCCACTATCAGGGATCTATGGAATTTAAGATGGGCCTGGGAGGTGGCTCAGTGGCAGCGCATGAAGCCTGTGCTCAACGCCCAACAGTGAAAGAGGGTAATGGATCAACAAGGGATGCTCCTCACCCGAGCTCCTTTCAGTGCCTCCAGCAGTCTTGTGACAGACTCAGTGAGCGCCACTCTGCTGCAGAATGGCTTTTCTTCGCTCCTGGGCTCTGCATGTGCATGCAGTCGTGTATACGCATGGATCACATGTTCTGGAAGGTCCTAGCTTCGGCACCCCTAAAGTTTTAGACATTCCGTTTATCTGTCAAACATTGGAGTTTTTATGCCTCAGCACAGAAACAGCAACAAGTGGGCTGCAGAATTCCCTCTGTGGCTTCAAGAAGCCAGACTGGATGGTCCTTGCTACTTTGGATCTAGTCTTGGGCACAGTAGGATTCTGAGATGAAGCTACCTGTTAGGAAGTGGAAAATCCTGACAGCCTGAGCAGGAGTCTGTCCAGAGAGAGGCTCGGGATCCCAGCCCTGACGGGGGAGTTTGGCAGGCAGAGCTCTGCCCTGTGCTCCCTACAGAACTCTGCACTCTCCAAGCTTGCATTAAGTCCTAGCAAGACCCACAGGACTCCCCTGGTTCCCACAGCTCATCTGAGGGAGCTCCCACATACCTGTACTTCCCAAGCTAGGGTTTTCTCAGAAAACTTAAAAAATACCCCAGTCCATGTTCAGCCACGTGCCCAGGCTGCAGTGGGTACAGGTGACATGATTGATCTGTCTGGGCAGCTACAAAGTTGTGTCTGAAAGCTACAGAGGGCAGAAGGGCTTACAGGGATGGCAGGCCTCTGGCACCAGTCACTGGTGAGGACCTGCATTGACTTCAGTGGAGGGGGCTGCCTTCCTCCTCCCCACCCAGCCCTCCCTCTCTCTTGGCTTCGCTCTGTCTTTCATGAACCTGTTTCTGAAGAAAGAATGGAGTTTCAGGAAGTGAGAGACTAAGAGGTCCTGGCGCAGGCCCAGAGTCAATGAGGGGGTAAAGAAGGATGGCCTTTCATAGTGCCGAGCCCTGCACGCTGGCCCAGAGCCACTAGACCCAAAGCCTGCACCTCTGCACCCACGAACCTCATTCTGTCCCAATCCTCTAGCTGAGCTTTGCTGGAGGCTCTAACTCTGCCCCGTGCTCCTCAGCTTCTTACTCCAGAGCCCTCAGCCCAGAGGTTTCCACAGAAGGCTGAGAGGGTCAAGGAACGCAAGCCGCACTTTCTAGAAGCCCGACAGAAATCTTTATTTTCTTTTTTCTTTTTTTTTATTTAGTTTAGAAACAATGTTGTTTCACATGTCAATCCCAGATTCATCTCCCTCCCCACCTCCCCCGCCCTCCCCACCAGTTCCCCAGTCCCCCACCCAATCTCCACTCCAATCCCCAGGGAGGGTGAGGCCCTCCATGGTGGATCTCCAGTAACTGTCATTTCATCCAGGGCAGGGCCTAGGTCCTCCCCCCAAGAGTCCTGGCTGAGAGACCCTCCCATATTGTGGGATGGGCACTCAAAGTCTATTTGTATGCTAGGGATAAATACTACCCAAGACCCCATAGATTACCTAGGCCTCCTCACTGACACCCACATTCAGGGGGTCTGGGTCAGTCCCATGCTTTCCACACAGCCGTCAATCTGGAGTCCAAGAGCTAGCCCTTGTTCAGGTCAACTGTTTCTGTGGGTTAAACCAGCCCACTCTTAACTCCTTTACCCATCAATTCTCTCTTTCTGACACTGGATTCCAGGAGTTCAGTTCACTGTTTGTCTGTGGGTATCTGACTCTGCTTTCATCAGTTGCTGGATGAAGGTTCTGTTTCCCAGACTCTCTGGCCGTGGGATTTTATGCTGGCACTCCCCTGATTCATGTCTAAAATCCATAAATGAGTGAGTACATACCATGTTTCTCTTTTTGTGACTGGGTTACCTCACTCAGGATGGTTTTTTCTAGTGCCATCCATTTGCCTGCAAATTTCAAGATTCCATTGTTTTTTCCTCTGTGTAGTACTCCATTGTGTAAATGTACCACATTTTCTGTATCCACTCCTCAGTTGGGGGCATCTAGGTTGCTTCCAGGTTCTGGCTATTACAAATAATGCTGCTATGAACATAGTGGAACAGACATCCTTGTTGTATGAATATGCATCTTTTGGTTATATGCCTAAGAGTGGAATTGCTGGGCCTTTTGGTAGACTGATCCCCATTTTCTGAGGAATATCCATACTGATTTCCATAGTGGCTGTACAAGTTGGCAATCCCACCAACAGTGTAGAAGTGTTCCCCTTTCTCCACATCCTCTCCAGCATAAACTGTCATTGGAGTTTTTTATTTTAGCCATTCTGACAGGAGTGAGATGGTATCTCAGAGTTGTTTTGATTTGCATTTTCTGGATGGCTAGGGATGTTGAACACTTTCTCAAGTGTCTCTCAGCTATTTTAGTCTCCTCTACTGAGAATTATCTATTTAGTCCTGTACCCCATTTTTTGATTGGATCCTTTGGTGTTTTGGGGACTTGCTTCTTGAGTTCTTTGTAAATTTTGGAGATCAGCCCTCTGTCAGATGTGGGGTTAGTGAATATCTTCTCCCAATCTGTGGGTTACCTTTTTGTCTTGCTGACTTACAGAAGCTTCTCAGTTTCAGGAGGTCTCATTTATTAATTGCTGACCTTAGTGTCTGTGCTATTGATTCAGGAAGCGGTCTCCTGTACCAATTTGTTCAAGGGTGCCTCCCACTTTCTCTTTTAACAGGTTCAGTGTGGCTGGATGTATGTTGAGGTCTTTGATCCATTTGGACTTAAGTTTTGTGCATGGTGATAGACATGGATCTATCTGCAGTCTTCTACATGCCAGCTTCCAGTTATGCCAGCACCATTTGTTGAAGATGCTTTCTTTTTTCCATTGTATATTTGTAGCTTCTTTGTCGAAAATCAGATGTTCATACATGTATGGGTTAATATCAAGGTGTTTGATTCGATTCCATTGGTCTACCTGTCTATTTTTGTGCCAATACCAAACTGTTTTCAGGACTACAGCTCTATAATAGAGCTTGAAGTCAGGGATGGTGATGCCTCCAGATGTTGCTTTCCTGAATAAGGTTGTTTTGGCTATCCTGGGTCTTTTGTTTTTCCATACAAAGTTGAGAATTGTTCTTTCAAGGTCTGTGAAGAATTGTTCTGAGATTTTCATGGGGATTGTGTTAAATCTGTATATTGCTTTCGGTAAGATTACCATTTTTATTATGTTGATCCTGCCTATCCAAAAGCATGGGAGATCTTTCCACCTTCTGGTGTCTTCTTTGATTTCTTTCTTTAAAGACTGAAAGTTCTTGCGCTATAGGTCTTTCACTTGCTTGTTTAGCATTACCCCAAGGTATTTTATTTGTGGCTATTGTAAAGGGCGATGTTTCTCTGATTTCTTTCTCAGCCCTTTTACCGTCTGTATATAGTAGGGCTACTGATTTTCTTGAGTTGATCTTGTATCCTACCTCTTTGATGAAAGTATTTATCAGCTGCAGGAGTTCCCTTGTAGAGTTTTTCGGGTCACTTATATAAACTATCATATCATCTGCAAATAGTGAAAGTTTGAACTCTTCCTTTCCAATTTGTATCCCCTTGATCTCTTTTTGTTGTCGTATTGCTCTAGCTAGAACTTCAAGTACAATATTGAAGAGGTATGGAGAGAGTGGACAGCATTGTCTTGTTCTTGATCTTAGGGGAATTGCGTTGAGTTTCTGTCCATTTAGTTTGATGTTGGTTGTTGGTTTGCTATATATAGCTTTTATTATGTTGAGGTAAGTTCCTGTTATCCCAGATCTCTCCAAGACCTTTATCATGAAGGGGTGTTGGATTTTGTCAAAGGCTTTTTCAGCATCCAGTGAGATGATCCTGTGATTTTTGTTTCTCAGCTTGTTTATATGGTGGATTACATTGATGGATTTTCATATGTTGAACCAACCCTACATGCTTGGCATGAAGCCTATTTGATCATGGTGGATGAATTTTCTGATGTGTTCTTGGATCTGATTTGCCAGTATTTTATTGAGTATTTTTGCATCAATGTTCATGAGGGATATTGGTCTGAAATTCTCTTTCTTAGTTGTGTCTTTGTGTGGCTTGGGTATCAAGGTTATTGAAGCCTCGTAGAAAGAGTTTGGCAAAGACCCTTCTGCTTCTACTGCGTGGAATACTTTGAGAAGAATTGGTATAAGCTGTTGTTTGAATTTCTGGTAAAATTCTGCACTAAGGCCATCTGGCCCTAGGCTTTTTTGGTTGGGAGACTTTTGATGGCTGCTTCTATTTCTTTGGGGGTTATAGGTCTATTTAAATTGCTTATCTGTTCTTGATTTAATTTTGGCAAGTGATATCTATCCAGAAAATTGTCCATTTCCTTTAGATTTTCAAAGTGTGTGGAGTACAGGTTTTCAAAGTATGACCTGATGATTCTCTGGATTTCCTCAGTTTTTGTTGTTATGTCCCCTTTTTCGTTTCTGATTTTGTTAATTTGCATGTTCACACTCTATCGTTTGGTAAGTTTGTCTATCTTATTGATTTTCTCAAAGAACCAATTCTTCATTACATTGATTTTTTTGTATTGTTTTCCTAGTCTCTGCTTTATTGATTTCAGCCCACAATTTGATTATTTCCTGGTGTATACTCCTCCTGGGTGAATTTGCTTCTTTGTGTTCTAGAGCTTTCAGTTGTGCTGTTAATTCTCTAGTGTAACTATTCTCCAGTTTCTTCATGTGGGCACTTAGTGCTATGAACTTCCCCTGTAGCACTGCTTTCAAAGTGTTCCATAGGTTTGGGTATGTTGTGTCCCCATTCTCATTGAATTCTAGGAAGTCTTTAATTTCTTTTTTTTATTTCTTCATTGACCCAGGAATGGTGCAATTGTGCATTATTCAACTTCCATGATTTTGTAGATTTTCTGCAATTTGTGTTGTTGTTGAATTCTAATTTTAACGCATGGTGGTCTGATAAGGTGCATGGAATTATTCCAATTTTTTTGTACCTGTGGAAATTTGATATGTTGCCAAGTATGTGGTCGATTTTTTGAGAAGGCTCCATGTGGCGCTGAGAAGAAGGTATATTCTTTTTTATTTGGGTGGAATGTTCTATAGATGTCTGTTAATCCCAGTTGGGTCATAACTTCTATTAGTTCCTTTGTTTCTTTGGCTCATCTGGGTTACTTGTTTGGTATCTTGTGAGTAATTTCTACAATAAATACTTAGTTTTACTTTCAGTAAGTGTGTCGCTTATCGTTACAGTGTCATTTGGAGCCTCACCTATTATTCTTAGGTTTAGTCTTTTCCAGGTGTCCCATATTTCCTGGATATTTTGTGTTAGGGATTTGTTGGACTTAAGATTTTCTTTGTTCAATGAATCTATTTCCTCTAATGTATCTTCAATACCTGAGATTCTGTCTTCCATCTCTTGTATTCTGTTGGTTATGCTTGTATCTGTAGTGCCTGACCATTTGCCCAGCTTTTCTATTTCCAGCATTCCTTCAGACTGTGTTTTTTATTGTCTCTATTTCAGCTTTCAACCCTTGCACATTTTGAATTGTTTCTTGTAATTTTTACTTTGTCTTTTCCTCTCTTTCTTGCATTTGTTGAAGTTTTTGGTTTGTCTTTTCTTCCATTTCTTGCATTTTTTGGATTTTTTTTCCTCCATTTCTTGCAAATCTTGCATTTTTTGGATTTTTTCCTCCATTTCTTGTATTTTTGGGTTTTTTTTTCTTCCATGTCTTTAAGGAATTTTCTCATATCTTCTTTGAGGGCCTCTATCATTTTCATGAAGTTGTTTTTAAGGTCTTTCTCATCTGCTTCTTCTGCAATGGACTGTTCAGGTCTTGTGGGTGTAGATTCTCCAGTTTCTGGTGGTGTCATATTGGTTTTTCTGTTGGTGGGTGTGTTTTTGTATTGTCTCCTTCCAATCATTTCTTCCTGTGGGTGCAGAAGGAGTCTCTTCCTCCCCTGGAGGGTATGTGACCATAGTTCCTTTCCAGTGGGAGGGAGCAGGTCCAATACCCTGGTGGCTTTCCTCTTGTGTGGATGAAGGCCATCCTAGTATCAGGACCTTAGCAAACTCTGGGTGGGCTGGACCCTCGCCTCGCCTGTCCCGTGGATGGAGACTTGGACTTGGAAGCTGGCAGTCTCTGGGCAGGCTGAATCCCGTTGGGCTGGGATCCGGATCTGCTGTGTGCAGTCCTCAGGTCTGCAGTGGTTCTGCTCAGGCCATCGGAAAGCAGAAGACAAACCCACACTTACCTCACCTGTCCTGTGGGTGGAGAATGGACTGGACGGCCTGAATCCCATTGGCAGGGATATGGATCCGCTGTGCTCAGTCCTCAGGTCTCCGGTGTTTCTCAGAAATCTTTATTTTCACAAGATTAGAAATACCCAGAGTGGCTAAAACTCCCCCCCATGAAACCCTAGTCCCCAGCTGTGGGGACACAAGCCCTACATGACCGAGAATGATCTTACTATTGTAAGCAGAGAAACAACCAAGCTAGCAGTAAGTAGCACAGTGTATCTAAGGATGACAGTTCTCAAAGTACAGAAACTTCAGAGTAATGCATAGAGAGGGAACCACATTCTATGTCCACTATAATCGGAGAGCTCCCCTTAGCCAGGTGTCTTCAACATCTCTCAAGGAGTCCCCGTGATGTGTCCACCATACAGAGGAGGAGACTGGGGCTTGGCAAGACTGTATAGGCTACCCAGTTGACTGCCTGCCATGTGGTAGACCCAGGGTCAGTCCACAAGTGGCTTTGAACTGTTCTTCTCCCAACTGAGTCCGGGACACACCCTGACCGAGGTTGGAGGCTAACCCCTGAGCTGTATCGCTGCAGGCTCTTCCTGGAGAACAGCAAGCTGGAGCACACGGAAGGCGAGAGTAGCATCTTGGGCCAAGGCGGCAGTGGCACCGTCATCTACCGGGCCAGGTACCAGGGCCAGCCTGTGGCTGTGAAGAGATTCCACATCAAGAAGTTCAAGAATTCTGTGAATGCCCCAGCAGGTAACCGGGTGATAGCCACCACTTTTTTCTTCAGGTACATGAGCTCTCTTGTGTCCAAACTCCAGGCCACCTTAGGGAGGAAAGAGGCCACTCATGCACCTGGGACAGGAGGTGAGGAGGACTAGGGGACTGGTATACGTGATGTACAGGCTAGAGATCCAAGCTAAGCAAAGCCTGGATGTTGCTACCTGCCCAGACCGAAGTGTGTGTCAGCAGAGATCACTCCCACTATTTCTATCTGCTTTGTGCCCACTAAAGGCCTGGCACACATGGAAAGGGCAGTCTGATATCAGGCACAGTCCTCATCTGCAGAGCTGCTCCATCCATCTCCTGTGCAAGCAGAAGCTATACAATGACATATAGTGCTTTTTTTTTTTTTTTTACTCTTTGGGGCCCACCACCCAGCTCCCAAATAAATACACAGAGACTTATTTTTACTTATGAATACCTATGGTTTGTTTCTAGCCAGCTTTTCTAACTTAAAGTATCCTGTTTCTCTTTAACTACATTTTGCCTCTGGGTTTTTTACATTTCTTTAGTCTATGTATCTTTCTTCCCTTCTTATGTGATGACTATGTGGCTGGGTGGCTAGCCCCTGACATCTTCCTCTCCTCCTTTTCTTGCTTCTCCTCTTCTTGTTCTTCTGTTTATTCTCTCTACCTGCCAGTGTAAAGAGAAGCTTTTCTTTGAGAGAAGCCTTCCTGCCAGCCTGGTTCTAGAGCCGCATCAGTCCCAAATAAACACACAGGAGGCTATATTAATTATGAAGCTGTTGGCCTTCTTTGTTTCTTACTGGCTAGCTCTGACTTAAGTAATTACCCCATAATTGTTAATCTAAGTATGTTTCTTACCGGAGAATAGTTCCGGGCTTCCTACCCCATGGCGTTACATCTTGACTCTCCTATGTTTCTCCTTCCCAGAGTCCTCCTGGACTCCTAGTCCCACCTATCTTGGTTCCCTATAGGCCAGCAGTGCTTTATTGACAAATGCACAGGACTTCCCCCCAACATGCCAGCCTGCCTGTTTCCCTCTCCTGCCTAGCTATTGGCTGTTCAGCTCTTTATTAGACCAATCAGATGTTTTAGACGGGCAAAGCAACACAGCTTCACAGGGTTAAACAAATGCAACATAAAAGAATGCAGCACATCTTTGCATCATTCAACCAATGTTCCACAGCATAAACAAATGTGACACATCTTCAACTAATAACCCACAACAATGAAAGACAAGAGATGGGAAAAACCCTGCAGCAGGTATTTGGGATGTTCCTCCCCACCACCCCACATCCTACACCCCTCAAAGAATGCCACCAAGGGGCAGTTCAGTGAGCTCTGCATATCATATGCAGTCCAAGAATTCTTTCCTGTGGGAGGGGCCATCAGTATCCCTGTCGGTTCGTTTTCTGTTGCTACCATGGGATACCACATGCTGGGTAACTGCCAAACAAAATGAAGTCATTTGGCCCAAGGTTCTGGGGGTTTGAGGGAGCCAAGAGCTTAATGCGGCCGTCATACGATATCATCTCGGAAGGCTAAGATTGAGAGAGTGGGGGGCAGAGGTCAAGAAGGGGGGTGGATTTCTTTTTCTAACAAGCCCACTCCTTTGATAACTGACAGTCTTGAAATGGCTGCTTGAGTTTTCTACACATGAACGTTGGGGATGGGGGAGGTATGTAGGTGGACACATTCTAACCCTAGTGCCATGTAGTACTCAACCCAGGCCACCTCACTCCAGCCAGCAGAATTGTCCCTTGTTCCTGATTGGTCACCTTTTAATCACAGAGCCAATATATGTTCTTTGGTAGAAAAATTAGAATCATAGAAAATTATAAAGAAACCAATTTGCAGTTCTTTGAAGGGAATGTTGGTTTCTGCACTGCTTTAAACAGACTTGGTTGACATACCTCAGACTAATAAAAGGACCCTGAAAGTCGTGGACATGAGCAGAATATTAGACTCCCATGATATTCCCATACATAGCAATGACTGTTAGGAAATAGCCTCCATAGCGGTAATAAGAAACATTTGGAATTTTAATTAATCACGGTATCCGAATCCCAACCAGGCGATTTGACTAATAGACTATCAGATGCACATGTGCTGAAGAAGGCCAAGAGCTGACAAAGGAATGGGCCAACCTCACAAATGTCATGGTTAAGCCCACAGGGGTTATGGCTGGTTTCCTCCAGGACTTCATGCAGGCCTGCCTAGGAAACAGAAGTCACCTGTGGGCTTGGGAAGCCAGCACACTGCAGAGGTGACATTGCCGGTCGGAGAGAAGACAGCACACTCCATAACTGGGGTGGAGATTAAGATCTTATCTACCCTATAATAAAAAATAAATTCTCGATGGGTTAAAGAGCCAGTGGGAGAATGGGCCCTTACCCTTAGCAGGCAAATGGCCAGCACACTCAAGGTCTTGCACAACCAGGGAGTGGACCACTAAGGCTTTCGTGGTGCTTGACTCTTCACCCCAACAGTCCCCAGCTTTAAAATCTGTGGGAAAGGAATGCAAACAAGACACAAGGCAGTCAGGACTAGGCTGTACCCTGCCTAGTGGCCTCAGAGACATATGGTCTTCTCTGGACTGGCCACAAGCAGGGGTGCTGTCCTGAGGCTACAGGGTCTCCTACAGGCCATCACATAAGAGATGTGTGAATGTCAAGGGCTTGGAGGAGGCTACAGCATGGCTGAATTTCACTCATGCCCTCTATAGAACTTTCTCCTCTAATGTGAATGTCACAGGCCAGTAGCCATGGACAAATGTCTCACCAGCTGGTGATAATGACGGTGGCTCCCACCTTCAGTGGTCCTGGCTACTTGGTGAGGAATAAGGTAACCTGCAGTGACCCTGAGGGTGAAGGTGAAGGGGATTAATTACATTCCACATAGTTCCTGGGCCAGGCTTGGAGCAAGACAAGGGGATGCAAAGGGAATAAAGTCACTGGAATCTCCAACCAAGTGAATGGCAGCTGGGTGCTGAGAACTGTAAGATCATTCTCTGGGCCATGCAGGTAGAGCACTGTGGCAGTCCTCCCTTGAGCCAGATGGGACTCAGCGAGTGACCAGTAACTGTCACAAATGGCAAGTCACATTAGCTCTTGAGAAAGGAAGAGGCTTGGTGTTATCTTTTGCAGCAGGAAGGCAGAGCCCAGCAATAGCCTGAGGACCTCCCTTTGGGTCCTTGAATACAGCAGAGAAGAGAATTTCAGGAGGAGTCACAGTGAAGCGAAGTTACAGGAGATGGTGCACACTATAGAAGTAAAGGGAGGTAGAGGAGACACAACATATGGACAGACAGATGACCGACCATAGGACACACACACATACACACACACAGACACACACACACACCCATACACACAAACACACACACACAGACACACACACCCATACACACACCCATACACACACCCATACACACACAGACACACATACACACACACGCACCCATACACACACAGACACACATACACATACACACACACAGACACACGCACACACCCATACACACAAACACACACACAGACACACACACACACATACACACAGACACACACACCCATACACACATACACACACAGACACACATACACATACACACAGACACACATACACACACCCATACCCACAGACACACACATACACACACACACCCATACACGCACCCATACACACATACACACACACAGACACACACACAGACACACACACACACACACATACTCACACACACACAGACACACACACAGACATACATACACACACCCATTCACACACACAGACACACACACACCCATACACACACACACAGACACACACACACAGACACACACACACACCCATACACACGAGGATGGACTGACGGATGGGCAGGACCCTGAGATATAGGTGTGACCACTCAAGAGAATCATCCCTTAAGTGCTTCAGTGTGTGTGTGTGTGTGTGTGTGTGTGTGTGTGGTGTGACTTTGTATATGAAATGCACAACCGGGCTCAAAAATTAAGCAAAGTTTAATATTTAAGTACAAAAATATGATCCAGGTCACCTATGTGTCCCATCTTCAAGACTCTCCTTCTTGTCAAGGAAATTTCTGGGTGCTTTCGCTGGGTGCTTGTCGAGGGTTGGTGTCACTGGGTGTCACTGGGTACTCATCCAAGGTTAGTGTTGAGAGAGGATACTGAGGTAGGAAAACTCAAAGGTCTCGTACTTCTGTCTTCAGGCAAGCTAGTTCCTTTGTTGATTTGAACACTCCTTTTAGAAGTGCTGTTTAGGGACAGGGAATAAAATGTCACTGGAGTCACTCTGGGTGGTTCTGTCACTTGTGTTGAAGTTTTGGTCCAGTCTGAGGGGAGGTAGCCAGGCCCAGAGTGAGGGAGCATGCTCCCTTCTGTTGTCCTGTCTGTCACTTTCCCCTGACTGTCTGTCCTGCCTTAGTCTCAACCTCACTCTTTGGGGCCAACTCCTGGCCATCAGTATTACAATCCCATATGCAGTGTGTACTTTAAAATTTAACCCTGTCTGACCTTACCAAGTCCTTATAAGTATGGCAGCTCCCTGTGCCATGTGATCCGTAGGAGACAGCCTTCCTGGCCTAGACGTGGATCTATCTTGCCCCCACTCCCTGCAGCTGCTATTCTCCCTAGAAGGCTGACGGCCTTGCTTTGTCCCGCAGACACCATGCTGAGGCACCTGAGAGCCATGGACGCCATGAAGAACTTCTCAGATTTCCGGCAGGAGGCCAGCATGCTGCATGCCTTGCAGCACCCCTGCATCGTGTCCCTCATCGGCATCAGCATCCACCCGCTCTGCTTCGCCCTGGAGCTCGCCCCACTGAGCAGCCTCAACACCGTGCTGTCCGAGAACGCCAGAGGTACGGCCACTCTGAGAACATTCCATAGGGGCGTGTCTGCAGCTCACTCCTGGAGGCCAGCAGAGCCCTAGTGCAGGAGGGCCGGCCTCTGGAAAACCTTGGGCCAAGGGGTTTCCTCCTATCTCATGTGCCTACCTTGGTTGCCAAAGCAGAGCTGTGGGTGGCTTCAGTGAGCCAGGGTATGCCCAGCCCCAGAGCAGGCGCCTTGCCAACTCCAGGCCATGTTGGGGGAGCCCAAGAACTCACACTCTGGGGTCAGACAGGAGCAAATGCCAAGTCCCATAGGAAGAGGAACACTGCCTCAACTGGGAAGACAGAGCCTTAGATGAGGCAGCACCACTGGCCCAAGAGACAGTAGCTGGTACCTCAGGTACCCCCGCATCACTAAGTCCCCATAGCCACGTGTATACACTGGGCACCACTTAAGGTGGAGCCTGGGATCCCCTCTGCCATATCTTACTCCTCAGAGAAACTCAAAAAGAATTCTCTTGAAGAAATGAGTAACTGCCCTCAAACTGCTGCCTGAGGTGGGGAGGTGTCTGCCTTCATTAAGAAATGATATTAAACACTTCCCAACCTCGGTGAAAATGGAAAAGATTTGTGAAGTTTCTGTACCTTTAGTTTACCCTTGGCCACAGGACAAGGCAGCCTGAAGTGAGTTTGAGAGTGCTTGAATCTTTCCGTGAAAACACCTGCACTTCACAAGTGGTCTGCCATGAAGGGTCACCAAGGGTGAGAATTTCTGTCTTGAATGCATATTACTTAACTTAAAGTCGTTCTCTGTCCCCTTCTGGCATCTGGCATGAAGAAGAGTGAGAAATGTATCCACGGAATTTAAAGCATTAGGGGATGTGTTAGTCAGTTTCCTGTCACTGTGACAAAATGTGAGAGATAAAAAAACAAAAACAAAAACCTTACAAGAAAGAAAGGTTTGTCTGGGCTCATAATTTCAGAGATTTCAGCCCATGGTCGCTTGGCCTTGTCCTTTGGGCCTGAGATCATGTGGCACATTATGATGAGCTCACGTGACAGAAAAGGTTGTTCATGTCATGCCGCCTAGGAGTTTAAGAAAAGAGTGAGAAAGGTTAGAGTCCCACTGGCTCCTTCAAGGGAGCGTCCGCGGTGACCTCACTTCCATCTGCGTGGCCTGTCTTAGTTAGGTTTCTATTGCTGTGAGAAAACACCATGACCAAAGGCAGCACAGGAATGGGAGGGTTTGTTTCAGCTTACAGCTTGTCCGCCATCTTACTGAAGTCACGGCAGGAACCTGGTGGCAGGAACTGACCCAGGCCATGGAGGAGCGCTGCCTATGGGCTTGCTCAGCCTGCTCTCCTATATAAGCCAGGACCACCAGCCCAAGATGAAGCCACCTGAAGTGGACTCCCATCACCCTCCCCCATCAGTCATCAATCTAGAAAATGCACGACAGGCTTGTCCGTAGGCCAAACTGGTGGGACATTTTCCCAAGTGAGACTCTCTCTTCCAAACTAGGCAGCCCAAGGCTCTGTCCCTTAAATCTCCCATCACTTCCTGATAGTGCTGTCTAAGCCCACCCTCTAACCCCATCCATAAAACAGGAGAGACATAAGGGAAAAACGAAAGGCAGGTTCTAAGAATGCTGCTTTGATTCTATCTTAAAGTTGATGGATTTGAACATAGGTACTGTTTTCTTTGCAAGATTCTTCCTTCATGCCTCTGGGACATATGCTCACCCAAAAAGTAGCCTACCAGATTGCTTCGGGCCTGGCCTACCTGCACAAGAAAAACATCATCTTTTGTGACCTCAAGTCAGACAACATCCTGGTGTGGTCCCTGAGCGTCAAGGAACACGTCAACATCAAGCTGTCAGACTATGGCATCTCACGGCAGTCCTTTCACGAGGGTGCCCTGGGAGTGGAAGGCACCCCCGGCTACCAGGCTCCGGAGATCAGGCCCCGCATCGTGTATGACGAGAAGGTACCTGCCTGTCCCACTGTCATCCCCCAGTCACCTGTGTAGAGCAGGAGCCCAGGTCCCACGAGAAGCCAGACAGGCAGTCCCGGGCCTCTGGGCTCATCCCCTCCATCTCTCTCCTGTCTTCACAGAGGTCTGACTCTGACCAGAAGGTACCGGGGCCTGTGGTCTGCCTTCTTGCTAAAACGCCGACCTGTCCTTAGCTTTAGAAGGTCTTTAGTTTGTTGTTCTTGTTGTTTTGGTTTGTGTATGTTTGTGCGCATGCGTGTGCAGGTTGCTTGCCCATCCATCAACATTAGTGTCTTCCTGTCACTCTCCACCTCACGTTTTAAAATAGTCTCTCTCACTGAACCTGGGGCTAGCTCACTGGTTGACTAAACTTGTGGGCCAGTGCTCCTGGGGGCCTCCTGGCTCCACCTCCCAGTGTTGGGATCCCAGACACACGCTGCCACATCTATAGGTGTCCAGGATCCAAATGTAGATCTTCAGACTTTCAGAGACTAAGCCATCTCCCCAGATGTTTGTGACTCCGATTCACAAACATCACACAAGCTATAAACTGTGGACACAGAGTCCGGGACAGAGCATATCTGCATTTAGATCCTGACTGTCATATTTAGTTCACAGAATGGGAACCGAAGAGCACCTTGAACAGGGGCTGACTCCAGAAAGATGCTCAGTAGATGGTGTCATGCCAGCCTGTTCATTCACCTCCCCCTTGACTCTAATTTTTATTATATTCATTTACTTGTGTATTTATTTAGGAGGACCTTGTTTATAGAAATCAGTAGACAGCTTGCAAGAAGAGTTAGCGCTTGCCTTCCACAGTGTGGGCTCTGGGGATCGAACTTGGTTCATCGGGCTTAGCAGCAAAAGCCTTCACTGCCTGAGCCATCATCTCACTTGCGCTCTGATTTCTTATTAGTGCATTATTTTCAAATGGGCCACGGACCTTGAGAATGACCCTGAGTAGACACGGGTTAACTCAGCACCTGTGGTTGTTTCCCGAGACAGAAAAAAGCAATCAAAGCAACAGGAATGAGAAGCTTCTCAGTAGCTGAGGATCCAGACAAGGTGTTCATCCACAAGACTACAATAAGAACGGTCACATTAAAAACTACCAACTCTGTCTCAAACATTCTCTTGGGAAAGACATTCCCCAACTCACATTGGATCTCTGTAACTCTTTCCTTGCTGGGTCTTTTGATGACAATTAAAATGAGAAAACAAAGGAGTCACAATCTCGAAGACGCTCCCATGCTTATGAGTTTCATATGCAGCCCTCTGCTGGCTTGGTTTTGGAACCCTTGATTGGTGCCTGGTAGTTAGCAGTTTCTGTGTGTATGTCTAGAAGATGGATGGACAAATGGATGGATGGGAGGATACGCAAATAATGCAGGAGGCTTAATGGATAGGAAGATGGACAGGACAGGAGTGTTTGAGCAGACTGGGGTAGGTAGATGAGTTGATGGGTGGACTGAGGAGGGTCTCCCTTTGGGAAGAGCCTGTGCTTTCCTTATCTAATTGTGCTGTCCTGGTCCTTCCCCCTCAGGGCCAGCCTTCTGAAGTTGCTGGACCCAGGCAGGAGACCTAACTCGGCTTACCTTTCTGCCCAGGTAGATATGTTCTCCTATGGAATGGTTCTGTACGAGTTGCTGTCAGGACAGCGTCCTGCACTGGGCCACCACCAACTTCAGATTGCCAAGAAACTGTCCAAGGGCATCCGCCCAGTTCTGGGGCAACCAGAGGAAGTGCAGTTCCATCGACTCCAGGCACTCATGATGGAGTGCTGGGACACAAAGCCGGAGAAGGTACGCGGAACGGAGTGGAGCCTGAGCCCTTCTTCCCCCGTGGGGGGACTGTGGGTCTCCAAAGCACACGTGCGTCTGCTCACTTACCCTCCCTAAGGACAGCTGGGCAATCTTCTCTGTTTGTCTCTTCTGGACAAAACTTTATTCCCCTAATGTACCTCCCAGTCTTGGTGTGTATGCACATGCATGTGCTTACATGTCTGTCTGTCTGTCTGTCTGTCTGTGGAAATGTTACATTTTTTATCCCCAACTTGTGTACTTGGGACCAGAAGTATTTCAAGGCTTAGAGTTTTCCAGATTTTTAGAATATTTATGTGTTAGTTGAACATCGTAAAGATCCAAACTCCAAAATGCTCTGGAATCTGGAACTTTTTGAGTATCACTCAATTTGTATATCAAACCCATTGTGGCAATATAGTCCCCATGCAGGAACAGGGGGAAACCATGCATCTCTGTGGAAACTTTGCTTGTGAGAAGCAGGGACCCTGCTACATTATCAAAGACAGCTCTGTGTTAGTTGGAAGAGCCCTTACAATCAACCTTAGCACTTGTTCATCAGAACAGATAGTTAATATAATGCATTATGAATACTATCTGAGACAAAATTTCACGCCCCTGGGATTAAGGTGCGACACAACGGACCTTTGTCTCCACATAAACTGAGCCTGTTACTGTGGCCATGATGACCCAGAGACTATCCATGACCTTTATTTTTTGGAGGGGGAGGGTGTTCTGAAGCCTTTTCAGTCTCGTGTTAGGCTAACCCTAGTGGAGAGATTCTCATACGCCCATAGCTGGTGCCAGGTGGTGGTGTGCAGGAAAACTGCACAGCAGTGCTCACTATGGACCTCTCTCCCGCAGCGCCCGCTGGCCCTGTCTGTCGTGAGCCAGATGAAGGACCCAACCTTCGCCACCTTCATGTACATGCTGCCCTGCGGGAAGCAGTCAGCCTTCTTTTCTTCCCAGGGCCAGGAGTACACTGTGGTGTTCTGGGATGGGAAGGAGGAGTCCAGGTAATGTCTCTGGCATGTCCTTCCCTGCTTGTGTCTTGGGTGGCACTGGGAACAGAAAAGCAATGATGTTGATGGCACACATGATTTAGCAGATGGCAGAGTCCAAAGCCTGGTTAGGGCAGTCAAGACAAAAGAAGGGAGGAAACAGAATGGACAGAGGCACAGTTTTGCAGCTACGGGGAATAAAGAAAGGGCGAGCCTGGGTGGGTCAGGAACCCATTGCCAGGGACAGTGTTGCTTCAAGATGAAGTTGTTCACACTCTGAGCTGGAAGGTCGTTAGATGATGCTGGAGGTGGACAAGTGTAGAAGCCAACGGAGTGGCGTGAGAGGGACAGGGGCCAGAGCCGAAGAGTCGCCCTGCAGTAGTGGCCACACCACACAGTCCCTTCCAGTCGAGTGAAACGGCAGGAAGAAAGTGAGAATGGGGGAATGAGATATCCCGGAAGAAAGGAGAGAATCCAAAAGTGGCCTCAATGGTCTGTGGAGCCCGGATGCCTGCAGAGCAGTGTTGAGACCCCTGCAAACTGTGAAGGAACCCACCAGCCTGCCTACATGGCCATTGCTCCCAGGGTCTGCTCACCCCAGCTCCCAGACTGCGGAAGGTAGCTTACAAACCTCACAATTTCTCCAGCAAGGAGAGAGGGAGCAGGACTTGAGGGGCTCTCAAGGGTGCATTTAGAGAGAATGCCCGGGGCCTGAGACCATAAAATGGGGAGAATACAGAATGGCCCACAGAAGCAGGCAAGTCCCCAGCTAGATATGACCCACGCAGAGTGAGCTGCAGAGCTGGGAAAGGGGGGGCAGTTGGTGATCAACACTGCATGCCCCAGAGAGCAGTGGGAAGCGGAGGGCAACGTGTCTGAGAAAGAGTGGAGTGCCTGGAACCCAGAGGCAAGTGCATGGGGAGGGGAGGGGCAAGGGCTGGGATCGCCGTGGGGGTCAGGGTCTTGTGTGATGGCATGCAGTGTGTGTGTCACCCTCCTCCCAACGTGAGAGCTCCGTAGGGTAGACTGGTCTTCAGATGGTCCTAGTAGAAAGCACTTGCGGGTCTTGCATTGTGGGGAGGCTTATGAGGCTTCAGTAGGGTGGGATTGGTGGAATGGATGCCACAGTTTCCCTGAGGTCAGCCTGGTTAAGTTTGCATGGATCTTATGGTCTTAGGCTGGTAGCAGGGAGGCATGAATAGAGGGGAAAATAAACTCCTATGTCCGGTTATGTCCATTGGAAAGGACTAAAAACCAGAACCAAAGAAATGTCATGAGTACCCATGATCTAGACACGGTCTCTAAGTACCAAGGGGAAGCAGCATTCATCTAATGGCTGTCTGCTGGGGAATGTTATTTTAAGGTGTGTGGCTTTTGTTTATGCTGAATTTGTTCAGCTTGGTGAAGCTGTGATTCTTTGCCTGTCTAACGCACCCGATGATCTAATAAAGAGCTGAATGGCCAATAGTGAGGCAGGAGCAAGGATGGGTGGGGCTGGCAGGCAGAGAGAATAACTAGAAGGAGAAACAAGAAGGAACAAGAGAAGAAAGAAAGGAGGACATCGGGGTCGGCCACCCGGCTACCCAGACAGCCACTGGGTAAGAAGAAAAGCAAGATATACAGAAGTAAGAAAGATAAAAGCCCAGAGGGAAAAGGTAGACAGGTTAGTTTACTTTGAGAAAAGCTGGCTAACAACAAGCCAAGCGAAGGCCGGCACTCACGACTAAGAATGAGCCTCCGCGTGGAGAGCCCCTCAAAAAGATCAAAAGCAATGCTACAACTGACTCTAGGCCCAGGCCTGGAGCGTTTGACTTGGGAGAAGCCAGGAGGCTGTAGGCTTCTGGGAGCACATTGTTGTGACTCCAGAGCAACCTGTCTGCAGATGCTGGACAGACCCTCCTCCGTCTACCTGACAGTGTTTGCTTTATACTTCACCTCAGTCACACACGGCAGTGTCTACACCCGCAACTGACTCTTTAAAATGTGAGCCGGGACAGACCCTTGATACTCAAATGGTCACACCTATTCTAAGGCCACTGCACCAGCCTGGGGAAGGAGGTGGTGGCCGCTGGCTATCTGGGACTGACCACAAGTTGTTGCCAACCACAGGAATTACACAGTGGTCAACACAGAGAAGGGCCTTCTGGAAGTACAGAGGATGGCCTGTGCTGGGATGAAGCTGAGCTGCCAACTCAAGGTCCAGAGCTCAGTGTGGATAGCCACCGAGGTAACCGCCAGCCTGCAGGGTCCCTGGAAGGGTGGGCTTTGCAGGGGTGCAGTTCCGGGGGGGGAACCAGGTTTGTAAAAATACAAGGTTTCCAGGTCAACCTGGCTATCGGGTAACCCCAGCTTGTGCCTGAGAGCCCCTAGAACAATGCCATCACGCCTGTAGGTCACCAGGAGAGCTGCTGGACTGCTGCTTGCCACCAGCTGGGAGCTAGGATTCAGGGTGGTGAGGGCAGGTGGATAATCTCAGCAGGAGAAACTTGATGGGGGATGTTCTTCTATATGCTCTGAATATATGTTTCTCTTACTGGTTGACGAATAAAGCTGTTTTGGCCTGGACGAGCAGGTCATAGCCAGGCAGGAAGTATTGGTGGGGCTACCAGATTAGGAGAATTCTAGGCAGAGGGATACAGGGCGTGGGTGGAAAGGGTGACGCCATGTAGCCACTGAGAAGGTAGGATGCCCAGGCATTCTCCGGTATGCCAAGACCATGTGGAGATACATAGATTAAAAGAAATGGGTTAATAATTAAGAGACAGCTAGCCAATAAGTATCCTTAGACATCGGCCAAATAGTTTATAATTTTCTTTTTAAAAAGGAGAATGCTGTGAGATCAGAGAGAAGGAGCAAGCCATAGCCACACCTTACCTCCTTAACCTCTCAGCAGACAAGAGAGAGTTCCTGTTTCTGCCAGCCTATAGCCTCTCTCTGCCCAGCCATCTCACTTCCTGTCTGTCTATATAAACCTCCAGACCTCTATGGTTAGCTAGTGGCAAGTTCCATTCTCTGACCTTCCGACCGGCTTTATTTGTACAAAGAAAGATATCACCACAGAAACTGGGTGTGTTGGTGGTGTGCCATGTTTCCTTATATACCGTGAGTGCCACAGAGCACAGATCATCTCTGAAGACCTTTTGGCTCCATATCCAGAAGTCATTGGAAGACCTGAGTAGCTGTATTGTGAGAAATACAAAGACTGCCCCAAATTACATGCTCTGGGGTTATGATCATTGAAGTCCATCTAAATGACTGTTTGGAAATATGGCTATGTGTGAGATTCTCCAAAAGTACCCATGCTACTGAGACATCAAGAATAAAGAATTTGTTCTAAGAGATGACACAAAGAGGAGAGTGCCTGTCCCAATGTAATTCTTAGTAGCGACAACAAATTCACTAAAAACTAGTAATGGACAGTGAAGTTGACCCCGTATCAGTGGTAAAGGGAGTGAAAGGGCTCTGCCTAAGGCAGTGTCACTGTCCTGTGACCCCACTTTGTTAGTGGCATGCTCATGCACACCCACGACAATCTTCTGAGACGCTCTGCCCCCCCATCCTAAGGACTACCAGTGAGTTTATTTTCTTCAAGACTGTTCTTTTTCTCAAAGTTTCTACAAAAAGCAGAAACTACTGGACAGTGGTGGTGCACGCATTTAATCCCAGAACTCAGGAGGCAGAGGCAGGGGTATCTCTTTGAGTTTGAGGTCAACCTGGTCTGCAGAGTGAGTTCCAGGCAACCACGGATACAGGAAGAAACCCTGTCTCAAACAAACAAACAAAACCAGAAATGAAAAACAAAACAAAATGTTGCCTTTTTAAGGTACAAAGGGGTTCCCCAGGCTGAAAGCATCCTAGTAGGGCATGCCAGTCATTCCTTCACTGGCTCTTACAGTGGGCTCATCTCCTTCTGCAGGACCAGAAAATCTATATCTACAGCCTTAAAGGCATGTGTCCACTGAGCATGCCCCAGCAGGCCCTGGATACCCCGGCTGTGGTCACTTGCTTCTTAGCAGTGCCTGTTATTAAAAAGGTAAGGTGGGGCCGGGCGGTGGTGATGCAAGCCTCTAATCCCAGCACTCAGGAGACAGAGGCAGGCAGATCTCTGTGAGTTGGAGACCAGCTGGTTGGTCACTTTATGTGGGACAGTGAATTGAGCTGGGGACAGTGGAGACACACCTTCCTGGGCCACCTAGCCCAGGTCACCATCATTAACATGGAGTGCCTACTGTCCACGGGCAAATGCCAGAGACCCTGACTCAGATAAGGTTCATTTTGGTGTAAATGATGAAGCAAGCTGTTGCAAATGGACACTTCTCCGGACAGAGATATCAGGAGCCTCTCCCCACCCTGCCTTGGCCACCATCTTCCCTGATCACTGGGCAGCTGGTTCCCTTCTGTCTGTGTCTACATCCTCTCAAAGATCCAGCACTTCCCAACACTGCCCAACATTTCTCCACATTGCCCAACACTGCCCAGCACTGCCCAGCACTGCCCAGCACTGCCCAGCACTGCCCAGCACTTCCCAACACTGCCCAACACTGCCCAGCACTGCCCAACACTGCCCAGCACTTCCCAACACTGCCCAGCACTGCCCAACACTGCCCAACATTTCTCCACATTGCCCAGCATCACCCAGCACTGCCCAGCATCGCCCAGCACCGCCCAACACCGCCCAACACTGCCCAGCACTGCCCAACACTGCCCAACACTGCCCAGCACTGCCCAGCACTTCCCAACACTGCCCAGCATCGCCCAGCACTGCCCAACACTGCCCAGCATCGCCCATTATTGCCCAGCATCACCCAGCACTGCCCAGCATCGCCCAGCACCACCCAACACTGCCCAGTACTGCCCAGCACTGCTCAGCACTGCCCAACACTGCCCAGCACTGCCCAACACTGCCCAACACTGCCCAACACTTCCCAACACTGCCCAGCATCGCCCAGCACTGCCCAACACCGCCCAACACTGCCCAGCACTGCCCAACACTGCCCAGCACTGCCCAACACTGCCCAACACTGCCCAGCACTGCCCAACACTGCCCAGCATCGCCCAGCACTGCCCAACACTGCCCAGCATCGCCCATTATTGCCCAGCATCACCCAGCACTGCCCAGCATCGCCCAGCACCACCCAACACTGCCCAGTACTGCCCAGCACTGCTCAGCACTGCCCAACACTGCCCAGCACTGCCCAACACTGCCCAACATTTCTCCACATTGCCCAGCATCACCCAGCACTGCCCAGCATCGCCCAGCACCGCCCAACACTGCCCAGTACTGCCCAGCACTGCTCAGCACTGCCCAACACTGCCCAGCACTTCCCAACACTGCCCAGCACTTCCCAACACTGCCCAACACTTCCCAACACTGCCCAACACTGCCCAGCATTGCTCAGCACTGCCCAACACTGCCCAGCATCGCCCAGCACTGCCCAACACTGCCCAGCACTTTACAACACTGCCCAGCACTTTCCAACACTGCCCAGCACTGCCCAGCATCACCCAGCACTGCCCAGCATCGCCCAGCACTGCTCAACACCACCCAACACTGCCCAGCACTGTCCAGCACTGCTCAGCACTGCCCAACACTGCCCAGCACTGTCCAGCACTGCTCAGCACTGCCCAACACTGCCCAGCACTGCCCAACACTGCCCAGCACTTTCCAACACTGCCCAACACTTCCCAACACTGCCCAACACTGCCCAGCATTGCTCAGCACTGCCCAACACTGCCCAGCATCGCCCAGCACTGCCCAACACTGCCCAGCACTTTCCAACACTGCCCAGCACTTTCCAACACTGCCCAACACTGCCCAGCATCACCCAGCACTGCTCAGCATCACCCAGCACTGCCCAGCATCGCCCAGCACTGCCCAACACCACCCAACACTGCCCAGCACTGTCCAGCACTGCCCAACACTGCCCAGCACTGCCCAACACTGCCCCACACTTCCCAACACTGCCCAGTACTGCCCAACACTGCCCAGCACCGCCCCACACTGCCCAGCACTTTCCAACACTGCCCCACACTTCCCAACACTGCCCAGCACCGCCCAGCAGACCCACTTCCTCACCCTCCTAACCCATCCACTTGGTGTTCTCCCCACCTCTAAGCTAAGCCATCTCCACCACATCTTGGCATTGAATCCAGCCTCACTAGGGCTGGCCAGGCCATCACTGCACTGGTCCTGGACCTTCTCCATCAAACAGCAGATGCAGAGGATTCACCTTCCCAGCCTTGTCCAGGAGCCACCCTCCTGGTGAACTGTCAGGATCCAGAGCCATGACCTCTCCTCTGAGAAGTGGTGTAGCATTGCCTGCTCTCCCGTGCTCTGCTGCCCTCCCTTGGATCCAGAAAGGCTTTGAGGGGCCCGGGGATGCAACACATGCTCTCCCCCAGAGAATAAGGCACACTTCCTTGCACCATTTTTTAAAATGTGCTGGTCATCCTTATGTGATCTTCATCTGTCTCTATGCAATGGGGGCGATAATAGTAATGAATTAGTCTCTGACCCTATGGATCCCAGAGTTCCAGGCTGCTCACTTGGCAACTAAGTGTGACTGTGACTTCCTGGCAGTCCCCAAATCTATGGGCTCTTCTCTCTTTGCTGCTGTAGCTTCATTTCTTTAGAAAAGGAAAAAGGAGAGATGCAAAATTGGTATGAGATGATTAGAGTCATTTATGGTCATAGCCCCAGAGGCAGGCCTGAGCAGCTGGGATCTCCCTGCGCCAGAGCCGGGGAGAACTGGACACAAAGCATTATTGAAGGACCCCGACGGCCAGAGCCCCAGCCAGGTTGCACGTCCTGCCCTAGCAGGGAGAATAAAGCGGGCTCTGTGTGAGGCAGGGTGCCTGCCCCGTGGAGGTCGGCCTGCAGAGGCCACACAGGGCAGACCCGTGCGTTCTTGCACAAGCTCACTCACATCCCACCAGACGGACGTGGTGTTCCCCACGCTGGCCGGCACAGCCAGGACCCAGAAAGACTTATGGCCTGTTTGCTCTGGCTGCTTTATTGACCTAAATCCTCAAGGTGGAGTCTGAGACACTTTCTTAGGGCTCCCTACTGTGGTGTTGAGTGAGAGGCCGGTCACTCCACTACCCTGACCAGCCAGCCCACCCCACTACAACACTCTCTCTCTCTCTCTCTCTCTCTCTCTCTCTCTCTCTCTCTCTCTCTCTCTCTCTCTCTCTCTCTCTCTCTCTCAACAAAGTGGCTTTCTGCCATTCCCTCCGGTTGGAACAAGGCTGGATCCTGTTCTGTCCTGAATTCTCACTTGGCTCTGTGGCACTTTACCTCACTCTGTGCGTGCTCAGGGAGATAACCTGGGAAGCCTGTGTTTGGCTTTCTACCTGCAACTCAGACCTCTGCCTAGTGACCTCTGGTGGGTAGCTACAGAGGAAATCATGCTAGTGTCAGCATAGGCTTTTCAGAGTGTGTGTGCGAGCCCATGGAGCCAAGACTCTGTGGAGAGTTTAAGTTAGAAGCCGTTTCTTCTAGAAACATATGTTGTCTACTTGATGGGAGCAATAGAGTCCAGGGCCACAGAGATGAATGGGACTTAACCCTTCCTAGGCCAGTCCAGTGCCAAGGGGGCAGTGGTGGGCACAGAGATCTGGCCCCTGCTTTGCTGGAGCACTCCACCTAGCGTGGGCAGAGTTCCTCCTGCCTACCACAGTTGTGTTAATAAGCTATTTACGATAGGAAAGTCATTCTGCCCTGCCTTCCAGTGAGGCCTTTGCAGCCTTCATGAAAAGCAGCTCCCCGCTGCTCATGCAAAAAGGACTGGTCCCAGGTAGTGGCACCCTTGCCGGACGCCCTTGGCACTGTGGACAGTTATTCCCTGGCACACCCTTGCCTTGCAGCACCAAGGATGGACAGTGGCTCTGCCGGGCTAAGTAAGCTACATCTTCTCTCATCTAGGCCTGAGACTCCCGAACAGATCAGGGTTTCAAAGGCCTAGCTTCTCTGAGGCGTTAATGGAGATCACATGCCCACTTGAGGCACATGTGGAGATGGATCTAGTGCCTGTGGTTTTTCTCCCAGAATGTATGACATGAAGGCGCTTCATGTCCCTGTCCCCTCCCCACAGAACTCCTTTCTGGTGCTGGCCGGCCTGGCTGATGGACTTGTGGCTGTGTTTCCGGTGGTCCGGGGCACCCCAAAAGAAAGCTGTTCCTACTTGTGCTCACACACAGCCAACAGGTCCAAGTTCTGTATCCCAGATGAAGATGCCCGGCAGAACCCCTACCCAGTGAAGGCAATGGAAGTGGTCAACAGTGGGTCTGAGGTCTGGTACAGCAACGGCCCTGGGCTCCTTGTCATCGACTGCACGGCCCTGGATATCAGCAGGCGGCTGGAGCCCTTCGCAGCCCCCTCCTCGGCCGCATCACTGGTGTGCAGCTCAGACTGCGGAGGGGAGGAGGTGGTCTGGTGCCTGGACGATAAGGCCAACTCCTTAGTGATGTACCACTCAGCCACCTACCAGCTGTGTGCCCGGTACTTCTGCGGGGACCCCAACCCCCTCAGGGACATGTTTCCTGTGCAGCCCTCGGCCCCAGAAGCCCCAGGCAGTCACATGATCGCCTCAAAGGAGCCAGAGGAGGAGTGCATTGCAGACGTGAGCATCATGTACAGTGAGGAGCTGGGCATGCAGATCCTGACCCACCAGGACTCACTCACTGACTACTGCTCTATGTCCTCCTACTGCTCGTCCCCACCCCACCGAGACCCCAGGTCCCCGTCCAGTCTGCCCAGCTCCCTGACCAGCTACTCCAGTGTGCCTTTCTCCACTGACTATGAAGACCCAGACAGGCCCAGCGTCACCTCTGACCGATCTGAGCCTGACCTGACCCCCATGGATGGGGAGACGTTCAGTCAACACCTGCAGGCTGTGAAGGTCCTTGCTGTCAAAGACCTCATTTGGGTCCCCAGGTAAGTGGTTTCCAGTGGGAGTGCCATGTCTGAGCTGTCCGGTGCTCTCGCTTTGGGACTGAGGTGATGGAACCCATAGCTTCTTGAAAGATTTGCAGATCCATCCGGGCAGTTCTCTCAAGAAGGCTCCGCCATTTGCTTTTAGAATTAGGAGTGATAGCTGGGCAGTGGTGGTGCACGCCTTTCATCCCAGCACTCCTCTAGAGGCAGAGACAGGAGAATCTGTGTGAATTCAAGGCCAGCCTGGTCTACAGAGCCAGTGCCAGGACAGGCTCCAAAGCTACACACAGAAACCCTGTCTCAAAACAAAAATTGGGAGTGATCCCCAAACAAATTTAAGAATATGCACACCGGAAGCTCACCTGTCCATCAGAAAATTCAAGGTGCCCCCCAAACAAGAACCATGCTCAGGTTCCCTATAGAAGGTCCTTCCCCGTGTCACACGGCCTCCGCTCTCACTCCCGTCACAAAAACGCCAAGCTGTGAACCTACCTGCTCACCGGTGCTATACCCGCTGGAGAGGCCAGCTTCCTGAACACACTTTTCCCTTTCTTGGCTTTGTTTTCTTAGGCATGGCGGGGATATCGTTGTTATTGGCCTGGAGAAGAATTCAGGTGCCCAGAGGGGCAGAGTCATCGCCGTCTTAAAAGCCCGAGAACTGACCTCTCACGGGTAAGACTGTGAGAACCATTCCATAGGGCCCTGGGGAGGGCGGAGGGGAACCACAGAACACACTGCCATGTCCACTAGATAGCACAGCAGCCCTGCCGCCCTATGTTCTCACAAATAAGCATGTCAATCCACCAGGGTGGGCCAAAAGGCAAAACAGACGCAAGGCAGGGTCCTCCGGGCAGCTCCCGGGGCTCAGCATGACAGCTGAGCAGAACATCAGCCACTCACCCAAGGATATCTATTTGTGGGGTGTCAGGGTACCTGTGGATCAAGTGCCTTGCCAAAGGTGTGTCTCCAGGGCCAGATTCAGCTGTGTTTGAAATGATGGTCCTTCCAAATGACTCACTGCCCTTCCTGGAAAACAGGAGAGTCCTATCAGGGGACCCACTAGCCCATGAAGCACCAGATAGAACCAGGTGACACGGTCATACTCTGCTAGTGTCCTCTCTAAGCCTAAAAGCGTGACTCAGTTCCACTAGGAGACATGCCAGTCCCTGATGTGGGGACATCTGGATTGGATGCCAGCTCAGGGCACAGTCTTCAAGGCCGGAGTCCCTGGCCATGTCTATTCCTCACCTGAAGCTCCCCATGAAAAGTCCTGAATCCAAACCTTCGTACACCGGGGAGTCTCTCACATCACAGGAGACCTGCTGGCAGCACAGGCTATCACTCATCCTTGGGCAAAGGTCTTTTATCTCTCTTCAATATCATCACATAGTCCCACTCTGCCCAAAGCAAGACAAGTCGTCAGTCACGTGTATGGCACCTCCATCCCTCGCCTGCCAGCACTGAGATTTCTGGGCAAGGCCTGGGCCAGTGGATCTTCTCTGTGAGTGATTCTGGAAAGCAGGTCGTCTTAGCTCCCAAGCCCTGACTGACCTGACGAAAGGAAACTTTGTGCTGAAGTTCCCAGCTTCCAAGTTGGGCTTCTGGGGACAAATAGGTGTTCAGAGCCCGGGTCGGTTGACCTTGGCATGCCACTCTGAGTGTGCCTGGTATCTCTTTTAGTCATCCCCCTGGAGGCAGACCAGAGTTGGCCAGCTGAAAAGGCAAGGAAGGATCAGAGATGCTAGACATTTGGTGAAAGGGAGCCTTGGCGTGCCGTGGGGCACAGTCACACGGCACAGGGGGAGGAGGTCCAGCTAGACCCAGGGATGGGACAACGGCCCCACAGAGACACCGCCAGGGCAAGCAGGCTGCAGGGAGTCATCCATTGCAGCCTGAGAGGAAACATGCCCACAGACCACGCAAAAACCGTCCACAGGTCAAAACAACGCAAGCAGGAATGGCTTTGAGGCAGCAGGTGTTCTGTCTAAGCTATGCCTCTGAATTCCCTAAGTGTGTGGGGACAGAATGGGGAAGCCTGTAACAAGGACACTGGCAAGTGTAGCTGCACTCATGGGCCACTATTTGACTTTTTTCATTGTGGTATGTAGGCACATGTCACAGTCTGCATGTGGAGGTCAGATGACAACTTTGTAGGAGCTGGTCCCCACCAGTTCTTACATGGGATCCAGGGATTGAAATCAAGGGAGGCAAGCCTCTTTCCCCACTAAGCCCTCTCTCTGACCTTCCTATGTCATTCTTGAATAGTAATAGTCAGTTGGTAGATTATTCTAGACACCAGAATTCCAAAGAGAGGCACAGACGATGCCCGCTAAGCTTGTCTCAGTCTGTGGTCTTCCAGGGAGTTATTCTCTTACAGTCAATGCTTATAATGTAAACTGATGCCCTTGGTCTTTTGTGGGACATTATAAAGCCTCCTCAGTCCATAAGTCAGACTATGAGGAACCAGACTGAGCTGTCTATGATACCCTCTTAGTAGCTCCACCCTTTCAAAACCTTACATGAAAAGGGAGAGCCCTCCCTGACCTAGTGAGCGCTCCTGTGGCTGTTCTCAGACCCTGTCTCTCTACAGGGTCCTGATGGACGCAGCAGTGGTGGCAAAGGACACGGTAGTGTGCGGCTTTGCAAACGAAAACATGGAGTGGTGCCTGGCTGTCTGGAGGGGCTGGGGCGCCAGGGAGTTTGACATCTTCTACCAGTCTTATGAGGAGCTGGGCCGCTTGGAGGTGTGTACGCGCAAGAGAAGGTAATGCCCGTGGAAGGGCCTCCGCGTGGAGCCAGCATGTCCGAGCCGCCGCCTTACCCCTCTGCTACAGCCCTCCAAGGGCACAGAAGACAAACAGGTTCTTTGCTAACCCTGTGTTCAGAAGGGCTGAGAAGCTAGTAGCTACTGGCGGTTTGGGAGTTCTCAGGTTCTATGGGGAGAATTACCAGCCCAAGGGAAGTCACAGGGTCTGGTTGAGAGAGGCATTCTCTTGCCTCTTCCACGGGCTTCCAGGAGCTGGGGAGAGTGACCCCATTCCAGGCCTTCCTGGCATATGAATGGGCCTGTCCGTTTTTATTGCCAGGCCTCAGATGGAATTACACTGGAGACCTTTGGTTGAGGAGCAGTTCGGGGCAAGGTGGGAAGAGAGGGCTGTGACCCCTGGCCCTCCTTCCCCAAAGACCCCGGGCTCTCAGCCTGTTTCACAAGGCTCTGAGTCCCTGGAGCGTGGGGCCCAGCTTGGTCAAGGTGAGATCGAATCTCCTGGTTGGCAAGGGCTCTGTATGGGAAACCTCAGAAGGACCCTGAACAGGCAGCATTGCCCAATAGTGGGGATGAATGGGTTCCTTCAAGAGTCACAGCCCGAAAGCCCAGTGCGAGGGCTCCTGCTTCCCCTGTACATTCTTCTTCCCGACAAAAGGAAGGAGAAACCCAATCAGCGGGCCCGGAGAAAGGGCCTGTGTTTATAGCGTGGTAAAATAAACTTGGATGCAGCCAGAGCACAAGCCTTGCTTGTTTGCACATCATAATCTTGTTTATCACTTTAACAAATTAAGTAATATCTCAGCGGTTAGGCCCGGTTGTGAAATCCCATCGTATGGGACTTACACCGAATTATATATTTGCCAAACATTTACTGCCCACATGGACAGCAGATGATGAAAAGTGAAACTGTTAGCAGGGCGTATGGGCACAACAGGGAGCATTTTATAAATCCTGTGCACACATGTGCACACATGCCCACGCCTTTGCCAAGCGGTACCCTTGGAGGCTGCTTAACCTAGAACTCAAATTTGAATGTGAAGTTGTACTTGGCTCATGTTGTTGAACCTTTTCTGGAATTAAATTATAAAAACCAAACTTGAGATTTGCTGGGGTGTGCAAGCTGATGTGACTCCTGCTGTCTAAAAATAAACAGACCTAGAATGAAAAACGTAGCCTCTGTCTCCTGAATGCAGCACAGGCTCTGGCCTTCCCAGGTCCCCTTGCTGCCCAGGGTAGACACAGGTCACCCTTCGCGGCCCACTGCTGGGTGCTCCCGGCTGCCCTGTAGCTTTCCATGGGAAGATGCTTGTCTGCCAGCCCCGGCTCTGGGGAGAGCCAGCTCCCCATTTCCTCCTGTGAGTCAGGCCCTGGGTCCTTGAGGACCAAGGCTCTGTGTCTGCTGAATACCTCACCACCACTTCCCGTGCTGATCCCTAAGGTGAGGGTGGGGGTCACCAACTCTTCTCTCTGGGTGTCCCAAGGCTGCCTGCTTAGATCTCGAGACACAAACCTGGTCCTGTCTGCCCTGCGCCTGCACAGTGTCACTTGCTGTGGGCAGCTGTGCTGATAGCCAGCCCCTTGTACCTCATGGGCTCAGCACACCTTTAACACGTCATATTCTCCTGCCCAGATGAAGCCCTAACTGGAGCCTCGCCATCATGGGGGATGGGGTGAGAGCTTTCACATAACTACTGGGAACGTGGAAGGAAAGGATAATGAACTTGGCTACAGAAGAGTTAGGAACCTAGAAGGAAAATGGACCACACAAAGGTAAATGACAACTACGAGGAAAAAAAAATCCACAGGGCTGATGAGATGGCTTATTAGGTCAGAAAGCATGCTGTCAAGACTGAAAACCTAAGTTAGATTCCTAGGATGGTAGAAAGAAAAAACCAATTCCAATAAGTTGTCCTCTGACGTACACTTGTGAACACACACACACACAAAATTAATAAATGTAATTAAAAAATGTTTTAACAACACAAATGAAAGATGAGCAGATTCATCAGTAAAAGAAAACACAATTGAAAACAGATAAATTGCATGCACAGGCCATCACAGGTGAGTGGCATAAAGCAACACAGCCCCTCAACATGATAAAATGGCTTTTGACACCCTCAAGTTACAAAGATCAAATGATTAGCCATGATTCTTGAACTCTGGCCAAGCATTAGGCAGTGTCACCAGGACACGGTGGCAGTCACCCAAACAAGACACTCTGCTGCTGGGGTCTCCACTCAAGAGAATGGGTAACAGTGGACACACAAACAGAGAGCTAGAGAGGAGAATTCAGGAAACCGGCTATGAGTGTTACAGCTCTGGAGGGAAAGGTAAGTATCAGCTTACTGCATCGCCTGCCTCTGACGGCCAGGATACCTTTCCCTTCTGAGCCGTAGGTATCCCCTGACTTCAGATGGCCAGAATACCTTTTCCTTCCAAGCTGTAACACTTACACCAGCAGCTAAGCCTGGGGCTGGGAGAGGTCAGATCTGTTAGGGCTGTTTGAGAAAGGGCATTTATGTGAGGTCTCAGGGTCCCACACAGGAGAGCTTACACGTGCAAAGGCCCTAGGAGAAGGAGCCGGTCACAGCTGGAACAGCTAGCGCACCATAAAGAAGAGAATGCCCAGTCTGCCTCCACCCCACCCCACAGACCCGGCACACAATTACAGGTGTCCACTGAAGCTGCTGGGAGTGGGAACAAAAGCATTGCCTGTGGAGTAGAGAACAGACCAAAGCAGCAGAAGGCGCTGGAGAGAGTCTACCGCCGTTTCCAGAGTGCAAGCCTGTGACCTAGGAGTGTCTCTTAGACATGTAACACTGCAGTGTGTGAACCTGTGTGGAAGTGTGCAAGTTCACCACAGACTGCTCCTGGTGCCCCAAGCAGGAATCAGCCCAACCCTCTCTCTAGAGGAAAGCCGTAAAGTTCCTGGCCTGCAAAACTCGTCCTCACAGCTTCTCCAAAGGGGGTGGCACCAGCCACCCTGGTCTGAAGTGCTCTCTGAGGTATAATAAATGAACTGGTGGGGGTTTTTATTATTATTTAATCCTTTATTTATTCTTTGAAAATTTCATACAATGTATTTTAGTCACATCCATCTCTCCCCCTCTCCTGCTCCAAGACCTTCTTCCCATATCCCTACCCTTCCAACTTCATATTCTCCCTCCCCACTCTCTCTCTCTGGGAGAGAAAACATCCTCTTCCAACAAGTCCATGGACATGTCAAGGGGAAGAAACGAAGTTTGTGGATGGAACCATGGGGACTTGGTTCTTCTCTCTCCCAAGCAGTGACATGGAGCAGCCAGCTAGCACAGTCCTAAGACCGGGCGCTGCCTGTACTCTGACTGTATCCAGGAAAAGGAACCTGGACTCAGCCTACCAAGTAGATGCTAACAAGATCCATTTCCATGATGGCAGCAAAGTAGGTCAGGATATCATGCACACACTTTGAGCGATGGGAGACGACCAGCCTGCAAATTATCATGAGACAACAGCACAGTGACTGGCAGAGCTTCTAGGGCTCCAAGACGCCATCACTGCACTCTTGGTATGGAAAGAACACTCGCCTTTATGCCTGAACTCTGTGCTGTTCACCCTCCAGGAGCAGCCACCAGCCTGCCCCATGTCAGTTGAGGACACCCAGACCTCAACTAGGTAGCTTTGTCTGGCGTCTTCCAAGGCCTTTCCTCCTAGGGACAAGAAAGGCTTTTGTGATGCTAGGCAGGCTCAGACAGTATGAGAAGAGTTATGAACACTCAGAGAGGGTGACAGGTCCTTGTGCACACAGGTGAGCACTGGAGAAGCCAGAAAAGTTAAACATGCATGCTGCTCTCTTCAAAGGAAGAAGGTGTTGACCTGTCTTCCTCCTGGAATGTTAGGAAAGGATGTAGTTTACAACCTGGTGATCTTTACTATCTGTAGGTCCAGGCTTCACTCAAAGTCCCCAGAATAGTTTGTTTATCCCAGGCCTTCCCCCCTAAATCTTGAGCATTGTTTCTAAGCCCTTAAACCAGTCCTTATGAGAGATGTCACATGTTCTTCACAACAGCCTAAGTGACTTCTATGTTATCTTAGGGCCAAGCTAACCCTGACCCCCTACAGTCATTATACTTATCTCAGTCATTCTCCGTGGACCCTTATCTTGAGCATTGTCCCTAAGTCAACAGAACCCATCTTTACGGAAGAAGCCATATGTACTTTGTAAAGAGTTTTAGTGTAAACATGTCTTAAGCTTTGCTGTACACACAGGACTGAGTTAATCGTCATCAGGAAACTTTTTTCCAAAACTGTGCTGTGCTTAAATATGTCTAAAATATACTGCCTGGTGTCAGACTCCAGAATTTTGGCCCAGCATTGGCTGACTACGTCGGGTTGAACCAAGTTTCATTCTTGTTTCTCCACATATCATTCCACTGTCAGGCATGGAACTTGCAGGGACACCCTCCCCCCCAAGGAAATAGGAAGGTTGGCACCATGGTAAGGAGGAAGTTGGAAGTCTGGAGCTTCAGCATCCAGGACAGTTTTCCAGTGAGTAGAGTAAGTCTGCCCTCCACAGCTACAAGATCTAAGATGTCACCTTCAAATGAAAAACATTGGAAAGGATGTGGAATGGTGCAGATCATGTACCAATCTTATTTCCTATCATTATCTCTCAAACAACACAGGATAGTAACTACTTACCAAGTATTTCCATAGTGTTCACCATCAGTCACCGAAAGATTTGAAGACTATGAGAGAAAGTATTTGGGTTTTATGCAATTACCATACAGTCTCATAAGAAGGACTTGAGCCTCCAACAAACTTGGCCCACAAGTGGTCTTGGAGTCAATTTCCTGCGGACACCAAGGGACAATCAAACTTTCTTGAGAAACTCATATCACATGGTAGGCTGCTTCTTAGGATGCTCAAAACATTGGTGATAGTCTGGTACTTTAGACTTTCATTTTAATTAAATGTTGCCAAGTAAGTGCAGGTTAGTTATGGTTTTAAAATCAATGTTAAATAGAGGGGCTTATTATGAATCCAGTGTACAAGCTGTATGTTGTTATTTAGAGACTGGCTCATTTTTCACTTCTCATAAATGTGTGGGCCTCATTCATACAGCATTATCATGACACTACACCCCACAGCCAGGCACTGAAGAATTCCAGATCACCAGAGGCAGGGATGCCAAAGTATTAGGATGTCCACATCTCTTTGACCCGGGGCCAGAAAAATCCAGAAGATGGCATCCAATTCCTGCCTCTTCTGAAGGGTATACACACACAGCTGACAGACAGCAGCCCCGACCTCTGCATTCTTGGAGTCCAGAAGACCCAGGAAAGGGCCTGGGGTCAGAGGGAAGACCCACACAGGTGCTTCAAGGTGAGATCGTATAGAGTGGGAGGCTGTCACAAGTCACCTCTTGGAGGCAGGGACAGCCCACGTCATTCCCCAAACCTGCAACTTCTAGGGTTTCCTTCCATGTCCCTGATAATGGCAGAATAGATCTGGACCCATGGTGCACTGTGGCTTTGTCCCATTGCATTCGAGCCATTTAGGACATTCTTAGGATGGCTATCACTCTCTGTCAGCCACAGGAAGCCTGACCTGTGGTCACATTCCAAAGCACTAGGGTAAGGGTTTCAGTTTGTGAATCCTAAGGGGACATAGTTCACAGTTCAGTCCACAATGCTCTCCTTGTTCCAAAGGCTCCGTGGTGGCACCTTTGGAGCATAAAACCCAACCAACTAAAGGCAAGAAAAGGTATTCACGATGTTCTAAGTGAGGCCTTGGGTACATGTTAATAAGAAACACACATGGTGTTTTCTTCATTTACAAATGCATGACAGATTTAAAAGATCAGAATGACATAGACCAAAATGTGGTCTGTGACCATTCCTGGCTCCTGAGGCCACCACTTGTGGCTTAGATCACTAAGACCTAAGTTACAAAAATATTCACTTTAAATAATCTAAAATGGCTACTGTGTCTACACATTGACTTTCTTGTTGTGATTGGTCTGTCTTGGGACTCTGAGCATCATAGCAGCCAACGCCAAAGGAACACTTTTGTCAGCAGCCCCCCTCCTTGCTCCTTTTAGTCTGAGAGGAAATGTCATTTTTCCCCAGGGGCAGTCTGTACAGAGAACATCCGGTGCTGTAGATATCGCTGCCCTTGGAGTAGCACAGTCTACTTCCTGGAACTGAGTCTTCCAACTGCCTTTAGCAAGGGCTGCAGCTCTCCGGTCCAGTCAGAACCCGGGAGCACTTTGGTCCTGGAAAGCAAATAGCACAAGAGAGTCTGGTCAGGTCCAGAGACACTATTCTGCCTGGAAGGAGATTCCCATCCCTTTCAAATCCATCTCCTGTAGGAGTTTCAGAATGACGGAAAGGGAGTTGAGTGCCACACCAGGTCCAGAGACACTATTCTGCCTGGAAGGAGATTCCCATCCCTTTCAAATCCGTCTCCTGTAGGAGTTTCAGAATGACGGAAAGGGAGTTGAGTGCCACACCTCCAACAAGTGTGGGTGGTAGTCATCAGCTGACACTTTCCTCAGCATTGATGGCTGAGCCTCCAACACCATCACTTCCAACCAGAGCCCCCTTCACCTCCTACTGCGTACAAAGCCTGTGAGGCAGAGTCTGGACTCACCCGTGTAACTATCTCTCCCTCTCACACACGCTGCTGGCTCCTTCCCGGCTGAGCTCTTAGGAAGCGTGTGGCATGTTTTGGTGGTGCTGTGCTCTGCTGATTGTACTGCCTGGACACATGCCCCTCAGCTTCCGGCTTCCGAATCGACTTCAGTCTAGGCATACTGCCCTGAGGCTTCGTCAGTTCCAGGACGTGCCAGCTTCCACGGGCTGCTTAGCTCCAGGAGCCACAGCCCCTCAGAATGCTCAGGGCCCCAGAGCATTTTCAGTGTAACAGGGACACTGTCCCTGCACAACACTGGCCTTTTTTTCTGTCTCCACTGACAGACACACTGATAAGCTCCCTGAGGCCAGGTTCTGAGGCCTCATGGGCACTCCTGTCCTTTGGAGGACTGAGCACCTAGCCCCATTGGGCTGCTACTTTGTAGTTCTTGGACATGTGTTACTCGGTTTCTTTCCACTATAGTGAAATGCCCAATATAATCAATTTTAAAAATCCTTATCTCATAGTCCAATACAGTCCAGGTCAACTGTTTTGGACCTCTGGTGAAGGTACCAGTTGGTAACAACCCAAAGCAAATACCAGAGCAAACTGTTTACCTCAAAACCAAGAAGCAAAGAGAAAACTCAATGAGACCACTAAATCCCTTCCAGGACCCCATCTCCTAAAGACTACACAGCCTCCAATAGCACCACCTTGATAACCAAGTCTCTAACATGGGAGCCTGGGGGACCCTAACCACAGGCGGGCCTCAGTCTTCATGGGAGGAGTCAAGGGAAGGAACTCCAACATGACTTAACCCAAAGGGACACGAGAAAGAACGAATGCCTACTGCATACCCGGGAGCATGGGCTATCTGATTCCTTAGCTCCAGCTACACACGGAAACCCTCAGACACCACCCTCACATTTCTAACGCTGCGGCCTGGAGAGTCCAGAGGTCGTCGCCACTCCCTCCCTCCTTCCCTCCATCTCTCCTTGTCCCCCTCCTTCCCTCCCTCCCTTCACCATTCCTCACACACAGGGCAAGCATGGTATGTCTTCTGTGTTCCTGTGACCAAGCCATGGTGTTACAGGTAACCCACCAGAGATGACCACCCCAAGTTCATAGGCAATTGAAAGTCTTTGTTCCAGTCAGCTGGAACCACACCCCACTGTTGAGGTGTTGTCCCGAATGTACAGAACACTGGGATTTTAAGAGCAGAGACCCCATCCAGGAACCTGACTCAGCAGCAGCTGCGAGGGGTCTTCCCAGTGAGCGGTTTGAAGCAAGCGGTTTCAACAGAAGCTAAGATAAGCAGTTAGCTAGCCCCGAGCAGTTTCAGCAGAAACAGGAGGCTAAGGTGAATGGTTAGCTGGAGGAGGGTCTGAATAAAGAAGCTGTTTTAACAAAGGCTCAGATAAGTTAGCTAGCACGTCCTGACCTTTGGTTCCTGGAATAGAGCTGGGTAATTTTCCATGGGGTTCTCCATCAAGGAGATCAGATTCTAGTTAAACCCGGAACAGTCTCGACAGCAAGGATGTAAGATGGAGGAGCCAGAGCTGCCATGCCCCGTCACCATGGAGACAACAGACCCTATGCAGAGTCTTGGTGACCTGCTTTTTCTGCCTTACCTCCAGCACATGGTTGCCCCTCCTATTTTACAGGGACCCCGGGCAACAAGGCCCTACAGAGGAAGGCGGGTTACTCAAAGCAGTCCTGGCTGACAAAATTGCACCAAGGCCTCCCTTACCCCTCAGCTCTCAAAAAAAGGACCACACTGAAGCCCCAGCCTGGGACGGGGAGGATGAGGACCTAAATGCTACAGAGAGTCAGAAAGATGAGGGCTTCCCTGCGGCCAAGTAAACATGCCACTCCTCCATGTGACCAAGGCAGTCGCCCTCAGACATCATTAGCTCTCAGCTGGCTATGGTGGGGCCTCAGGGAAATAAAGGCAAGCCTCTCCCACAGCATGGAAAGAACACAGGTGGCCACGGTGGCCGGCAGGTGGGGGCTTGGCCAAAATACAAGATATGCTTCCCTAGGGCCTAGTGGGTGGGAAGATGCCTAACCAGATCCTCCTAACATCAGCGATTCTCCTTTGGCCAGAATCCCGGAGCAATTCCCTCAACAGCGTCCAGGGGGCGCCCATATGCAACAGCCCAGCCACTGTTCAGTCTGCCTGTTGTCTGCCTATCCCAAACAGGACAGGACCAACTAAGAAATGGGTGCCTCTGCTCTCATGGACCCTCTAAGAAGGGTCTGTGGCTTGATGAGTTTACTTTGCCTAGCATGATCCCAGTGGGGAAGAAGGAATGCTTGTGGCTATGCGTGAATGTAAATATAGACACCTGAGGGCCAGGTAGGGGGTGGAGGGGACATGGAACATTTTTTTTTTTACAAGACAGGGTTTCTTTGTGTAGTCTTGGCTGTCCTGGAACTAGTTTTGAAGACCATGCTGGCCTCCGACTCAGAGATCTGCCTGTTTCTGTCTCACAGGGTGCTGGGATTAAAGGAATGTGCCACCCCTATCTGGCTAGAATTTTTTACTTAATATTTTGCATTCGTTCTACAATAAAAATGTTAAACTTGGTAGAGGTGGTGCATGCCTTTAATCCAAGCACTCGGGAGGCAGAGGTAGGAGAATCTTTGTGAGTTCAAAACCAGCCTGGTCTACACAGAGTCCCACAACAACCAGGACACAGAGAAACCCTGTTTCCAAAGGAGAGGACACACAGCAGGTAAGAGCCAGGAGGTAGGATAAACACAGAAGGCCTCTTCAGAACATTCTACCAGCCTCCAGGACCACCTCAGCCATACCCAGGTCATGGGTCGAGACCTCACACATTACATGGTAGGAGTCAATCACCCCTATTCTATCCTAATCCCAGGCCCACAGAAACAGTGTGGAAAGACAGTTGTCACACACTGAGTTCTGGGAGATAGGCAACTGATGGGGGAAGTCCTTCTGTATATATGTTTCTCTTTTTGGTTGATGAGTAAAACACTGCCTGGCCAATGAGGCAGGAAGATAGGCGGGACAACAACGAGAAGAATTCTGGGGAAGGTAGGCAGAGAGGGCTCACCATGTAGGCCACCAAAGGAGTAACCCGTCTGGACCCTTCTCCCGTAAGATAAGACCACATGGAAATACTTAGATTAGTATTTATGGGTCAATAATTAAGACAGAGCTAGCCCTAGCCACGGCCTACAATTTTATAATTAAAATAGCATCAGTGTTCTTATTTGGGGATGAGAAGGATGGCTGGACAAGAAAATCTCCAGCAACAGGCAACCAAAAGAGCTCAGAAGCCCAATCAGCTTTCCACTTTCACGGATGTCCTGGGGACCCAAGGGTTAGGGTGCTGCCCCCCTATTTAGCAGGCAAGGACCCAGGCTTAGAGTCTTGAGTGCAGTGTGTTGGGGACCAGCTTAGCCCTGAGCCGTCACAGCCCAAGCAGAGGAAACTATGAGCAGCAGGCCTTGCCACACAAAGTCATCTCTCTGTCCTCTCCGAGGGACACCGGCAACCATGGCAGCTAGGCTGGAGGCTGGATTTGCTAGGGTGTGTTCAGTGCATCTGGACCTGATGGATGAATGCAGGTGACTCAAGAGTCACAGGTTACTATGGCAACCACCCAGCCTCAGGAGTCCCAAGCACAGATCTCTAGCCTGTGAGTTCTTGAACTTGGAGGGAAATGCACCTTGGCTTTGCCTCTTGGCTCTGGTCCAGGCTGTTGCTGGGACTGTGCCCTCCACTGGCCACTTTGCTACTCTGGGAGTAGACAGGTGGAAGTTTCCAGGAAAAAGGAAAGGATGACAGGCCGTCTCTCCGGCTGTGGGGGTGGGGCTGGCAGGGTGCTGGGCAGCCTGAGCCAGGCTCCCAGCTCTGGGGTCCAAGTGGCCAGCAGCAGCCAAGGTCGTAGTGGTCAGCAGCTTTCCTCATTGGTCACCAGACTGTCTGTTTTCAGGCAAGAGCCCCTGGGAAGCCACAACACAGGCGCTTTTATTCCGGCTGCTGAGGCACCAGTCAGGAGACCAAAGGGCAGGAGAGGCCCCCCCGAGGTGTGGGTTTGGCCTCTCAGAACGTGGGGTCCGGAAGCAACCTTGACCTCCTCCTATCCACACTGTGTGCCTGGGAAACAAAGGCCCAGAAAAGCCACCAACCCAAAATGTGTCGTTGCCAGGGGCAACCTGGGCACAGCACTGACCAGCCTGGGAAAAACTGTTCTTCCCAGCGGGGAACGGGTATTTGTCTTGTTTTAATTTTTTTTTAAAGTTGGGTCAGATCAGATTTTTAAAATGCTGCTCCAGGGCATGGCGTTGCCCGAATGCCGCTTGAAAAGGCAGATCCAGGCAGAGAAACTCTCTCAGATTGCAAAACATCGGCTCAGAACTCCTGCGTCACTGAACAGTGAGTCTGTCCCGTCTGTGCCTGGGACCAAAGGGTCGTCTCAGGTCTGCCTATGCTGGTGGATAAACATGGCTCCCCGACTCCTAGCTCCTAGGGGAGCTCAGAGCACACTCACCTTGGGCCTGCACCATGCGGGAGTCCCAGGGGTGCGCGTATGCAATGCCTGGCAGGCAGGCCTGAAAGACAAAAGAGCATAGGCCGCAGAAGGGATAGTGAGTGAACAATGGGGTGGCCATACAGGGTAAAGCTTTGGCCTCCTGCTCCTCCCTACAGTCAGGAAACGCAGGGAAAAATGCATTTAAGAAAAGAAACTCTGGATCCTAAAGAAAAGAAACCCTGGGTTCTGAAGACCGTTCGCTGAGTGTGAGCAGTCACCCAGAGGCTGTCCTCATTACAATCTGTCTTTGATCCTGTGTTCTTCAGCTTGGAGGAGATGTGGGAGTTGGGGTTTTGATAGATGAGTAAGAGTTCACCAAGCGGGGCTCACCTTCTCTGTAGGGGCTAACTGACCCTGTGGGAAGCACAGACACTCAAGGGACAACATGGAGGCTGGAGAGCAGTGTGTCCACCGTGCGTCTGGAGTGTAGCAGGGGAGCAGAGGGCACTTGCCTCGAGTGTGTGAGTGAGGACATGTCTGATCCCCACCACAAGAGCACGTTCACTGTGGACAGGACTCCATGGATTTGTCACCAAACAGGAAGAAACCTGGACCATGATGTGCTCTCTCGGGTGTCACAGTCTCCCTCGAGATGTGGTTCCCGAGA